AAGGAGGCCAAGAAATTTATGCATACATATATCAATAGGTAAGAGGTACCGAGAGGTCATGGCACTCCTCAGAAGTGTGAACAAATCCTGGAAAGGCATAAATAAATCATTTTGTCACACCTTACATCCTAGTATTTCTTTCCAACCCAAGAAACAAATCTTGGTTGTAGTTGGGTTTTCCTTTTTTTTAACTCTTTGCTCTTTGGTGGCCCGCCATGCAGTTCCCAAATAAATACAAGGAGACTCATTACGAATGCCTGGCCTTAGCTTGGCTTGTTTCTAACCAGCTTTTCTTAATTTATCCTGTCTACCTTTTGCCTCTAGGCTTTCATCTTTCTTTCTTCTACATATCTTTCTTTCCTTCTTACTCTGTGGCTGGCTGTGTTGCTGGGTGGCTAGCCCCTGGTGTCCTCTCCTTCTCTGTTCTCCTATTTATTCTCTCTGCCTGGCAGCCTGACATATTTCTCTTCCCTATTGGCAATTCAGCTCTTTATTAGACCAATCAGGTGTTTTAGATAGGCAAAGTAACACAGCTTTACAGAATTAAACAAATGCAACATAAAAGAATGCAACACATTTTTGCATCATTAAATAAATATTCTATAGCATAAAAGAATGTAACACATCTTTAATACTCCACAACACTTGGTTCCTCAATAACAGCAAGTCTGCAGTTTTGTTCCCTCATTTTCCACTTTTCTATTAGGCATCTGAATCTAGCAAGCATGTATAACTGTCCTTCCAAGCAGGAAATCAGTGAATCAGACAAGTTGGCTGTTCTTATGCCTAAAGGTTTACAAGAACTGAGCAAGTTTTGAATTACTCAAATCTCCACTGCCTATTAATAGGCAAGGTTAGATAGAGAACTGACTTTACAGGATGCTGAAGGAGTACCCACTGATCTCTCCAAACCCCAGCATCCATGTAGCTCCTTGGGGAATACTGTTACTGGGTCACAGTTACCAAATGAAGACGATATTCAAGTAATTCACAATATGCATTCTAAAATACTAATTTTGGCTTATGTTACTCAAACTATCAAGAAAAAAATGGGTAACTTACTAGAATTTGAACATTTTAGTCAGGTTCTAGGGGGAAAAAACTTTTATCATATGCTAGCAAATCAGAGTAGATTTAAAAAAACAAAACAAAAAACTCTTCATTTGGAGAAAAGTAAGCCCTTCAGAGGTAAACTCGGCCTTACCTTGGCAGTATTAGTGCAGAAAGTGTGGATAGAGTGTACGGAGCGGTGCATTTTCCCAATAAGAAGACTTAAGCAAAGAAAGTGGAATTCAGGCAAGATTCAGACAATAGTGTACTAGCTGGGATGAACTGAATCTAGAAACACATCACCTGTAAAACCAAACTGCTGGACTACAAGCCCCCTCCTTTGGATTTGGTCAAGAGCATGTCAGCAGAGGGGGCTAGACACCTTGTGTATCCTACCTTTCTTTTAGAATTAAAAACAAATGAGAACCAAGAACATCTGAAGGTGTAACCCAAACTCCTTCCAGCTCAAAACAAACAAACCAAAAAAAAAAACTCAAAAGGCCGATGTATGGGTGAGTAGGGACTTGGCTAAAACCAATCAACTCCCTCACTTAATGCTTCAGCACAGGTCCAGTGCAACCAGGACTAGAAGGGACAGGCAACGATCTGCCCTTTACCCTGTCACAGGGAAGGGCTTGTACTCACTGGAAATAAAAACCTGTATTATACTTCATTTTCCACAGCTCTCTTATACCCACTAGTATAAAAACTTTTAACAATTAAGCTATTTTATCTAGGCAGAGCTAGCCATGGTACACAGCACTCCAAGTGAAAAACTTAACAGGAACCCATGCAGCAGTCCTTGCAAGCTTGCCCACAGGAATCCCCTCTCATTCTCTGCATGCCCACTTGTTATACTGCCTTTTACTTACCGCCTGTCTGTGGCATCTCACAATCCACTGGCTATGTGCCATTCTTGTTTGTCTAGCACTCTCCCCATAATACCTTTTAGAGTGAACCACCACTCTCCTTTTGTACTTAGTATTAATGACTATGCTTGATGCCAAGGCATTTCAATAACCCAGGGAGTTCTCGGAGCAATGGGCTATTTAAACAGTTCATGCAATCTACTGGAGGATAAAAAAGAAGGCCTTGAGCAATCTTTGCTTAAAAATAAAACCCATTTGGAGCTCAAAATTTAGAACCCTGATTCTTCAGCTCCTCTTTGGTACCATGAGTCCCAACCACTTCAAATAAATTATTTTCTACATTATCTACAGTTGGTTGCTGCCAACAGAATCCTGATTAGGTAGTCTTTATAAGCCTGACTATGGCTTAGACATGCCTGTGAACAGGCATTAATGTGACACCACATCCCCCGAGTGTCTCACTCGTTCTGATAAATTCTGAAGTCTTTGTATCTTGAGAACAATGTGGTCTACACTATTTCTTGGTTACAAATTTACACATCAGTTATCACTTTGTTTTGGTGTTTGGTTTAAAACTCAACCATCACACTGGGCATATGACAGTAGGGAAACTGAGGCAGGAGGCGCCCAAGTTTCAGGATTGCCTAGGAGACCCTGTCTTAAAACCAAACACCTAAGCTGTCATGGTTTACAAACCTGTTCTTGATCCATCCCACACAGAGCACTAACATTCACTAGAACTTCAAAGCACAGAAACTAAAAAGTCTCAAAGCAGATTTTTTTTTTAAGTATGTGTGTGTCATGTAAGTGCGGGTGCTTGCAGGAGCCAGCAAAGGACTCAGATTCTCTGAAGCGGGAGTTAACAGAAAATTGTGAGGGAGAGGATTGGGTGCTGGATATCAAACTTGGATCTTCTGGAAGAGCAGCAAGCACACTCTTAACTGCTGAGCCATCTTTTCAGTCTCCTCAAAAAATGTTTAGAACTATGTATTAGACACTCACAAAAAAAAAAAAAACTCCCCCATCAGAATTTCAGTAATAACACTCTTACTAGTCATTAATATGAACAGTACACCATTTACCAAGTTTACTAGGGTAACTTCAGTTCACACTGTGAAATGATTTCCTTTTGATTTGATTTCATTTGCATGCAGTGACTCTTATATGCATTAGCTATACTTTAGCCAATTCAGTTAGGGGATTGTTTCATATGGTTCCGTCCTCTTGAATATGATTCCAAAAACATGCTGACTTGTGTAAAAAAAATTTTAAAAGATTTATCTTTATTATTTTTTTTTTTTTGTGTGTGTGTGTGTGTGTGTGTGTGTGTGTGTGTGTGTGTGTGTTTGTATGTGTGTGTAGGCAGGCAAGTAGGTTGGTAGGTAGGTAGGTAGGTAGGTAGGTAGGTAGATGTAAGTGCAGGTGCCCAGAGAGGCCAGAGGCATTGGACTCCCATGAAAATGGAATTATAGGCTACTGTGAATAGCCCAACATGGGTGCTGGGAATCAAACTCACGTCCTCTGCAAGAACATACAGTACACGCTCATAACTACTGTATCAATTCTCCAGACCTTTGAACAGAATTTTTCCAGTACATAGAGGATTCTAGAGCTTTCAGGCACCAAAATAATGCTAAGAATTTTATTCATGTAGGCTATATCCTCAGTTTTTTGGAATTCTTTTTAATATTCTGACTTTAAGAGAGGCTAAAAAAATGTAACTATACATTACTCAATTTATTTCATCCAGAAGAAAGCCATAAAAACTGTCCACAAATAACCTAATTACATTAAAGAAAAAATCCTACCGATGAGATGCTATCATTTTTATCCAGGCAACTGAGCCTCAAGGCACTGTCATCTTGCATTAAACCCATGAATTACAGATGCTAATACTAGTTTATTATGGTCCGTGCAGAATATTTAGATTACTCCAACCCAGCTCTTAATGAGTTCTGGATCTACCTGCAGGTGGGGAGTGGAACTTGACAGGAAAGAAACAGTAAAAGTTGACACTAAACTGACTCAAACACTGAGTTTATCATCTTAATTTCAAAAGGCACAGAAACAGCAGCAGCACCAAAACCTACTAGACGTCATCCAGCAGAAAGATTTCAGAGAAATGTCACACAGGCAGCCTTTTCATTTTCGTCCCTTGAGTACAGGCTTAGAGATGACAGAAATGGCTTAAGAGACTGAAACACAGCTGTGCCAACAGGATACCCACATCAGTGTATAAATAATATCATCCGTACGACAGCTAACATTTGAGCAGTAACTATGCCACGTACTCAGTGGAGTGTTTGCCTCTCTGCTATCACAATGTCTAGCTCCCTCAAGCAGGTGCCACAGGCGCCTCACAGATGAGAAACGGAAACAAGGCAGCCAGTCTTGGGGTGTACAGTTCATTAGTGGGAAGTCTGGTTCTACATCCAGTATGTACAACCCAAAGCAAAGGGCTTTGTTTAGTTTTTCGAGACAAGGTTTCTCTGTGAAACAGTCTTGGCTGTCCTGGAACTCACTCTGTAGACCAGGCTGGCCTTGAACTCACAGAGATCCACCTGCCTCTGCCTCGAGTGCTGGGATAAAAAGCATGAGCCACTATACCCAGCTCCAAAGCAAATGTTTTAAAACCTAATACCCAACTACATATGTGAAATGTCTGTCTAAAGCAGGATGGAAATTACAAACAGTAAAATTACTTAAATCATATGAAAATAGTTTCACTTACTTTATGACTCAATATCCCTACATGATTCGTGGCTGTTGGGATTACTGTATTTCTCTTCATCTGGTGACTAGAACCATAACAAATTCAGTACTATAATGGATAATCTAAAATTAATAGAAGATGAAAAGACATGAAGAAGTATATACAACACTCATGCCTGAACATGCCATTACATTAAAATTAAATAACTAAAACTCATATTAAAACAGCATAATTCAATATTAAAATGTCTCCTGTAAAAGTGTGAAATCTCAACTGCAAGATAAAAACTGTCCAAACACAAAGTTTATAAACAACAACAAAAAGCCATGATTTAAAGCAACTGAGAAAGATCAAGGACTAAGAGGAAAAAAGAATCAAAAGGACCTTTTATTGTAAATTATAAAAAAGCACATGTTCCTTGGTGTCTTGTATTCGCATTCATCTCACATCATCTTCACAATCTGCATGGCTTGCTCTGTGTTAGCCAAAGCATTCTCCTGCAGTCTACATCCACCAAAGCACAAAAGCAGGAGTAAAGCATCCAGTAGGTCTTGTGAGACATATTACCACAGAAATTAATCCAATAAACCTATGAAGATTTAGTTTTCAAAGAAATAAAACAAGTAATAAAAACAAAAGCATTTTTGCCATAATTTAATCTGTCTGATGATTCAGAGGCACCTAAAGATTGTGCTGTGGCATTATCTTCTGCTCTGTTTTATGCTGAGGTGCCTGCAACAGAATTCTGGTTACTGAGGTCTGAAAACAGAGAGCTTTATATGTGGTTCACACAGCATCAAGTGACTACAGATACAACACAGGAATTCTGATGTATATATTTGTACAATTTATACTATGCTGAGAAAAATTTTAAATTTAAGTTACAAAATGAGTATTTTTTTAGTACATTTAGTAATGACTATTTATATAAACTATCATTTTGTTTGGGTGACCAAATGAAATTTGAACATAATTAAAAAACATGTAACTTTTAAACAACATTTAAGGAACATAGCTATAGAACTGTTACACTGAAAGTCATGTACACGTATTAAAGAGCACTGAGGTGTCTCAAATCCACTGTTTTGAAAGGTTTTCAACCCATCTTACTATAAATCAATGTAAAACTTAAAGAAACCTACTCAGGTGTTAGAGCAGAATGAGGTGAACTCAATGCTGATCAGTCTGCCTAACAATCAACCACTCAATGCTGATCACTGAGAAAATCATGTTTGTTATCTGATTCTCCTGACAATCATTATAATTGAGACACATGTACAGATTCAGATGTGGTTGATTCAACCAACTGCAGAGGACATTTTCAACTTAAAAGTGGCCTAAAGAAGTGACAACTAGGAATGGCCGAATCACTGTACCTGTCAGATCCCGCCTTAAATCCAAGTTTTGCTACAGACTATCGGGTGCTTTTGGACTTCATAGTTGGGGTTAAAAAAAAAAAGTTTTCTGTATTCAAGCCTATCTATAGAATATCAAAGAAAAATGTAGATATATACATTTTGATATACACTCATACATAAACACTCACATTCACACTCACATGTCTAGAAACCAGCACCTAACCACATCCCACTCCTCACTACTAACTGAACAAATCATTTATTACTTTAAGACCAGCTTAGACTCTATAAGGCTATGACAGCATATGGCTAAAAGGTCAAACAAGCACCCACACAGGCTGACTGAACTTCCTCCTCATGATTTCGACAAGCAGTAATACCATTGACATGACAGACGGTAATAACTTAGGATCTGAGTATAAAACCACAGACAGGATCTCCCTCACTGATGTAAGGATGAGAGTGCATCCCACATGAGATCACTGAACCATACAAATGATCTTTACTTCTAATCTAAACAAACATGAGTCAAAACATTCTGAAACGCTGCATCCTTTGATTTCTTCATCTTTTCAATTGCCCGATGCAGGTCCTGCTGCTGCACAGGCCGGATTTCATCTTCATCATGACTAAAATGTAAACAAAACCATCAAATTGCCAAATCATTTCAGAGTACACCTACCTAAAATATTTTACAAAGGTTAAAAAGATGTAGGTGGTTAAAAATATACTTGTTTTTGACTATATGAGTATACCAATAGTTTCTTTCCCATTCAAGATCCCCAAGAGTTTGACAACACATTAGATCCATTCTTCTAGAAATTATCTATATACAAGAGTAAATAAATGTGAATATGAAAGTCATAAGACATGGTTTTACGATTTTTATTTTGTGTATGAGTGTTTGCCTGCATGTACATTTGTACGACATGTATGTGCCTGGTGCCCTTGGAGGTTAGAAGGAGGCACCAGATTCCCTGGAACTGGAGTTACAGACAGCAGTGAGCCACCATGTTGGTGCTCTAACCCTTTTCCAAGAGCAGCCAGTGCTCTAACCTGCTGAGCCATCTCTCCAGCTTCCTTAAAAGATACTTTTTTTTTTTTTTTTTTTTTCGTTTTTCGAGACAGGGTTTCTCTGTGTAGCTTTGCGCCTTTCCTGGGACTCGCTTGGTAGCCCAGGCTGGCCTCGAACTCACAGAGATCCACCTGGCTCTGCCTCCCGAGTGCTAGGATTAAAGGCAAAAGATACTTTTAAAAAGCACTTAGTAACAGGTAGCAAAGCAAAATGGCTGTGTAAAATCAATTACTTCACACCAAGAATGTAAGAAAGCACATTTTCATTAGAGAATGGCAGCTATCCAAACAAAGCATAATTACCACCAGAAATCAAGTTACTCTTGTGAATAGAACCAAAACCTAGCATTCCTAGGCATATAATCATGTACATGTGTAGTTTTTACAAGACAGAAATGAAACTCAACGTTCTTAATTAAAGAACAACTAATCCAAAAAAAAAAAAAAACCTAATCCAAGTCTCCTTTACTTTAATCTTGGCCAAACAAACAAACAAACAAACCTGGTATGTTCTGCTACTTAGTAGTTCACAGACACTTGGATGATTCCGGTCTAACAGCCAGATTTCACACTGACATTTGCAAGGCTTTTCAAGTGTTTTGCCTTTTATTATTAATGCAATTAACTTAAGCAAGGTTTATTTTTCCTTTTAATTTCTTCTGTTAGAAAAAAGACCTTTGGAATGTAGTGGTTTTTTTTTTTTTTTTTTTTTTTTTTGATGATGTTAAAACATTCCCAACTTGCTAGAGAATTATATGGCAGCACATGAATGGAATGCATCTCACATGGGGCAGGAGGGAGCAATATGGCAGTTGAGAGCCATGCTACTGTCTGGCAGGGACTTCATACAGAAGTAAACATGAGCTTTGAGAGCAGCTTACTATGACACCACACTCTAATTAGATTCTGACCACCACAGGCAAGTCAGGGTTACCTGGTATGAAAACTTCAGAGTAAGAAAGAGTCACACTCCTGTAACATGACTCAAAGGTACACCACTTTACTAAGGAATTCTTTACCAGAGAGCTGACATTTTTGTAACACTGCCTCAGGGGAAAGGCCTTTTGGGACTCTTTCTCAAAAGAGTTAATTGAGGGCTATTTTTGCTTGAAGTGTGACAAAAAATGATTTCTCAAACTCACCACACTCTAAATAGATTTCAAGTAAAATTGACTGACACGAGAAACGGTGTGTTAGTAACTGCTTATTGTTCAGTTGAAGCCCCCATCCACAGCAGCCCCACACTCCAGGCTCCTGAAGATAACACACTCTTTCTACTAACTGAGTTGAAAGATGCAGATACCATCTATAGGTTCTAGACAATCCTATTTTCCTAACAAAGAGGGTAAGCCTTGCTGTGGGATGTTCTGTATGGCAAATGTGTTGCTAATTAGTCAATAAACAAAACACTGATTGGCCATTGGCTAGGCAGGAAGTGTAGGCGGGACAAGGAGGAGAATAAAGCTGGGAAGTGGAAGGCTGAGTCAGAGAGACACTGCCAGCCGCCATGATGAGAAACAGCATGTGAAGATGCCGGTAAGCCACGAGCCACGTGGCAAGGTATAGATTAATAGAAATGGATTAATTTAAGCTGTAAAAACAGTTAGCAAGAAGCCTGCCACGGCCATACAGTTTGTAAGCAATATAAGTCTCTGTGTTTACTTGGTCGGGTCTGAGCGGCTGTGGGACTGACGGGTGACAGAGATTTGCCCTGACTGTGGGCCAGGCAGGAAAACTCAAGCTACAAAGCCTGGGTTTCTGTGACTCATTCTATTGTTTATCAAATGAAATTCAGCATTTTTGCCCCTTAATTCTAGAACATCCCTACAGCAATTTCTCCATTTGCAGAACTCCTGTTTAGAAAAGTAGCAACAGTGGTTTGGAGATGGCCCAAGAGGTCAAGTGCTTGCCATGAATGCATGAGGACCTGAGTTTGAGTTTGATCTCACAGTTAAAAAAAAAGGGGGGAGTGCCTGTAATCCCAGAAATGGGAAGGTGGCGACAGAAGGATCCCTGCGTTTGCTGACCAACCAGTCTAGAGATTTAGAGACCTCTGGGTTCAGTAAGACCCCTATCATCTCAAAAACTAGGGTGGAGAGCAACTGTGAGACACCTAATTCCAACCTGCAAACACACACATGAACATGTGTACATATACATACATAAACACATACCAAAAAATGGCAATAAATAAAGGAGGGAATGAGTTGCTAATTCAATTATCTTTTTCTATAAGTAGGCTGGTATAAAGCAAAACAACAATCATCTAATCAAAAAGGTTTGACAAATACCAGAAATCAAGTCTAAATAGTTACCTTTCCTCTGATGTAGAATTGACATACTCCCTGACGCAGAGGAGGGCGGCATCTCGACACATTTCTTTTAGGTCACTTCCTGAAAACCCATCAGTTTCCTGGGCAACTTCTAGAAGATCTACATGTCTATCCACCTTAAATAAACATGAAACATGCTTATAATAAATATATAAAATTAAGCAAAATATTTCTAAATATCCATCTGAGAGTTAATGTTTAATTTGTCGTAACAGCCAAGAGAAACAGAAAAGTATTGTTAGTTCCATAAAAACTTAGAAATTAAAAATTTTAATTTTCAAAAAGAAATCTAATTTTCATTATCACTACTACTGAAACATGCCTAAGTGTCTTTACACTTAAAATTCCTTTGAAGTGTAATGCTTTAATATTCTGCTACCTCAATACTAATTTAATTTAGTACTTGTTTTGTACTTCTATCTAAGCTTACAGTAAAGCCCATTAACAGGTTTGAGGGAATTTAAAACACAGTAATGTGCAGACAAAAAAGAGAAAATAAACAAGGAAATAATTTATTTGTGATTATCATCTATGATCTGAGCTCTCATTTCCATAAGCACCTTATGGGTATCATTTTCATTTAATCCTGCAAGTAAGCTGAGCAATCTTCATAGTCTGTTAATAGTCTGGAGGTCGGCAAGGGTGGACAGGCTATAGAAGTAGGATCCAACCCTATTTTCTCCCATATCTGCCATCATGATTTTCTTCACTCCGGTGAAATGCCACCTTTATTAGTTACTCAGTTTCTAATTGTGAAGTGTTTTGTTTTAAGAACAGTAATTCTAAACAAGGACAAAAGACAAAGGAAGTTGGGTGCAGGGGCACATGCTTGTTACTCCATCACCTCAGCAAGCAAGGTTCAGAAATTGAAGGCTAGCCTGACCTACCTAAGCAGCCAAAAAATGAGTACCCTTCTCAAACAAACAAATTTCAAAAGGAGACACGAGGAGAGGATATTATTCATTTCATTAAAAGAGCTTGGATGGGATCTTCCCCTTTTTTTCAGGTTTATAGAATAATTTGACAAGTACTGGCTTAAGTTGTTCTTTGAAGGTCTGAAAGAATTCTGTGGTGAATCTATTTGACCCTGGGCTTTTTCAGTTGGCGGACTTTAGTTTTTTTATTTTTAACTTTACATGAATGAATGTTCTGCCTGTATGTGTACTATGTGTGTACCTGGTGACCATGGAAGTCAGAAGAGGACATCGGATCCCTGGGAACTGGAGTTAGGATGGTTGTGAGCCATCACGTGGATGTAGGGACTGGAACCTGGGTCTTCTCAAAGAGCGACAGGTATTCTAAACCACTGAACCATCTTTCTAGCCCCTGTTTGGGAGATTTTTAATTACTGCTTCAAGTAAACTGCTTGTTATAGAGCTGTTTAAATTATTTACTGAATCTTGATTTCAATTTAGTAAATCACATAAAAATTCACCTATTTCTATTAGGTTTTCTAGTTTGGTAAAGAGTTTTAAAACTATGCCATCATGGGGGGGTTAGGGGGAAGGTGAGGGGGACGGGAGGGGGGAGAACAAGGGAATCCGTGGCTGATATGTAGAACTGAATTGTATTGCAAAATAAATTAAAATAAATTAAAAAAAAAAAAAACTATGCCATCAGGATTTTCTCAATTTCCTCAGTATCTGCTGTAATGTCTCCTGTCTCATCTCTAATTTTATTAATTCGGATCTTTGTATTAATTTTTTTGTTTGTTTGCTTCTATTTCATTAATCTCTGTCATGATTTTAGCTATTTTTCTTGGTCCACTGCTATCGAGATTTTTTTTTTATTTCTTGTTTTTCCAATGCCCTAAAGGCATCATCAGGCTATTTGATATCTAATTATTAATGTAGAAACTTAGAATTGCATATTTCCTACTGCCTGCTATGTAGCTATGACCTTCAAATTACAGTGTCATCTTCCTTAAACGGAAATGTAAATGACAAGAAGTTATTTATCTTTGATAAAAAGGAAACTGAACTTAGAGGCTAAGAGAACTGTGCAAGAAGCAACACACACACACACACACACACACACACATACACACACAAATAAATACTAAATAAATTTTAAAAAGGAAAAATGATAGGCTATCCTAACAACAATCTTTTAATTTAGGGTACAGAAAGCAGAAGCAAAATCCTAGCTAAGAACCTGTTGGGCATAGGGAATGTGTACAACTAGGCTGGAAAGAGAGCAGAGGTTGGATTTTACACATGTATGTCATAAAATGTTAAGGTTACTACCAAGAGTATGTAAGTCCAAAATCAGTACAGGAAGAGAAGAAAGGAAACAGGAAATGTAAATACACTGCTGCACTGAGACTGCAGTGGGGGTAGAAAGCCAAAACAAGGCACATTTCATGGAAAGAACTAGTTAAGAACAAACCAGTTCAAGCTCACAGTAAGAACAAATGCAAACAACTAAACTAAAGCAAGATTATAATACAATAAAAATGGGGCTGAGTATTAAGGCAGTCACATATACTGAAAGAAGCAGGCTCTGTGTTACACTTGGGAGGCAGAGCCAGGCGGATCTCTGTGAGTTCGAGGCCAGCCTGGGCTACCAAGTGAGTTCCAGGACAGGCGCAAAGCTACACAGAGAAACCCTGTCTCGAAAAACCAAAAAAAAAAAAAAAAAAAAAGAAAAAAAAGAAACAAATGCTTAAAAACTATATGCAAGGCAAATATTAAATGAAATGAGCATGATGTTCTTTTAGTTGCATTAGATCAGATTTAGGTGCAGTAGAGTACAATCTTTTCATAAAGCATATTTAGGGAAATAAGTCATTGCATAACAAGAAAAACTTCACTAGGAAAAAAAATCCTTCTGTACCTGTACATACACCTATCATTTCAGAATATAAGCAGCAAAAATTAACTATGAAGCAAATGAACAAGCCACAATACTAACATGTCTTGCTTATATGCTGATAGGTCACATAATGAAGTCTGAGTCTACTTAGTAACATGCAAGCATGATAATGATGCCTTTATTAAATGTATGTTATCAATGTGAGACTTTTAAAAACAAAACTGAATGAATTTTAGATTTTACTGAAGCAGTATTATGCCTTTGTCATATAAAAACCAGTAAAAGAGAAATGAGACATTTGCAAGTCAGCAATTAACCAAGGAACATTCATATTTTGCATTATAAACTGATTAAAGACTAATACGTATGCTTTCATAAATACAAAACAGAATGCTAAAGTTTCTGTACCCACAACAAAAATAATTCTAAAAATTTCCAAAGACCTTATTGTATCTAAAAAAAATTTTTAAGACCACTAAAATTGGTTTAAATTACATGAGTCATTTCTTAAGTTTGAATGAGACCTTAAATTTCATCATTTATATTCACCATCTATATGTGACTCATCTACATGTAAAACACCTACTCCAGCCCACATATGTTGTTCAAAAACATTAAGTTACCAAGCATGGTGGCACATCTTTGGCAGGCAGGTCTCTGTGAGTTCAAGTTCAAGGCCAGCCTAATCAAGTTCCAGAACAACCAATGCAGTGAAACCCTGTCACAACAAACAAGTAAAAAATGTTGGCCTGGTGGTGGATGGCTCATGCCTTTAATCCCAGTGCTCAGTAGGCAGAAGTAGGCGGATCTCTGTGAGTTTAAGGCAGGCTGGTCTACAGAGCAAGTCTGGGCTACACAGTGAAACCCTGTCTCAGGAAGAAAAAAAGATTTAAAAAAAAAAGAATTTCCTGAAACTATATAAAACATTTCATGACTATATGTTGATTTCTTAGGAAATGCTATCTAGCTTTTATCTTGATGATCTAAACTGATATGTTCCTTCAACTTCTATATACAGTACACAGACTTGCTAGAGTGGACACATGACAAATTTTAGTGATGATGGGAGGTGTTTGGTCCATGATAGAACGGTCATGGATGTATTAATGTTACCTGTCAATGAGTTAGTACCAAATTTCAAGTTTGGGATTTTAACTTTTTATTTTTGCTTTATTTTTGATAACTGTTCCTGAGCTTTTCATGAAGTATCAGAACGTGACCATGTACTGTCATCATGCACTCGAACTTTCTGACATCCAGAATTGTGAACTAAATATTCTAATTGTAAACTATTACATTCTGATACAACAGCAGAAAATGGCCCAACATGAAACAAATTAGGGTGCTGGAGAGATGGCTCAGTGGTTAAGCAGATTGCTCTTGCGGAGGTCCAGGGCTCCATTTCCAGCACTGACATGACGGCCCCCAGTAACTCCAGTTCCAGTTGTCAAACTGTCTCCTTTGTCCTCCACAGGCACTCACACATGGTGCACTTAAATCATGCAGGCAAACCATCCACACACATAAAATAATAAACCTTTTTTCTTTAAAAGAAACTAATTAAAGCACTGCTTCTAAAGAAAACAAAATCAGACAAAAAGGTGTAACCAGAAAGAACTTCACTGTCATAAGTGATGATCCATCAAAAATAATGTTTTTGTTCTTTAGTAAGACAATCTGATTCTAAAATCCCTATAGGAAAAAATAAAATTTCCCTGAAGGACAGAAAGGTCTACCAACATGAGAGGTTACAGCTGTCTCCGGTGAAGACAGTATGGAGCGAGGACAAAAAGACACAACAGCCCCTTAACCATCACACACCACCTGTGGCAGGTGAGAGAGCTGGCCCTGGGGTCACAAGAGTGGGAGAGCTGGCCCTGACCATCACTGGCTACAGTGCTTCCTGTCTGGGCAGCACACTAGAGCTGACCCTGTTGTTAGGGACACAGGGGGCTGGCCCTGAGAGCGTGAGAACCAACAGCAAAGCTGACTCGGCCCCTCCCTCATCTGTCATGTGGTGGTATGGGTGAGGGAAAGATGCCCTCCCCACTCCACGCCGTTCTACCTCTGGCAGGTGAGAGAGCTAGCCCCAGAGCCATGACAGTGAGAGAACTAGCCCAGCTCTACACCACCTACAGCGCACAGGAGAGCGGGGTCTGCACCCTGCCTGGGCAGCACACTAGAACTGACCCTGTTGTCTGGTTGCAGCTGAGCCAGCCCTGAGTGTGTGAGAGCAGGAGAGCTGACACTCCCATGTGCCGCCTGCAGCAATCGGGAAAGAGGGCCCTGCCCCTTGCCTGGGGATATGAGTAAGGGGGAGAGGGCCTGAGGGCCTAAGAGTAGGAGAACTGGCCCTGCTCCTTGCTGTAGTCTGCAGTGGGTGAGCTAGCCTGGGCTGTGCTGGAGAGCTCATCCAGGTAGTGACAATGAGGGAAAGCTGACCAGCCCAGCTACCACCCAGGCCCAGAACCAGGGCTATGAGTTGGCCACCCCAACATCCACATTGTCTATGAACTGTTGAGCATGTCAAGAGGATGAACCTACAGATCCAAAACAGCAGGATCTCCACGACACAGGACAACAACAGGATATCCAAGAGGAGCCCCAGTGAGGGCCCATTATCGGTGATGTGGCAGAAACCAGAGGCCTCAAGGCAGCCCAATGAATCATGGCAGTGAACACATGTAAGTAAAGATGAACAGACTAAAGAGTAAACTGTGTGTCCCAACAGACCACACTACAGCTTCCACAACAAGTTTTTGTTTGTTTGTTTTGTTTTGTCTCTTTGTTTAGTTTAGTTTTTCTTTTAAATTTGGTTTTGCTTGGCAGGGAGGTTGCAAGGGCAGAGGGTGGTTCGAGAGGACAGAGAGATAAGTGGGATCGAATGCATGATGTGAAATCCACACAGAATCAATAAAAGTAAGAAAACAAACCCCACAAAGGCTGAACAGACTAATCAGCTGATTCAGTCTAGGTTTTCTTTTTTTTTTTTTTCCTATTAAACCAGAAGCAGACTTTATTCCAGAAAAATAAAAATAAATTAAAATAAAACACTGCAGGGCACAAAAGCTTATCAGCTAGCTGAGACCAGCTGGAATTCTGGGGCTGTGGCAATGGAGGCGGGTACTGGCCCCCTTTTATAGTGTCAGGCATGGGGTGCATGCTCGGACTCATGGAGAAACAACTATAAAAGTTAACTTTGGTCTAGGCAGTTGTTGGCTATAAGGGACAAGGGGGTTAAAAGTTAACCCATGGCTGTTGACAGAGGAGCTGGCTGTAAAGCAGACAGCCATTATTAGCAGTTAACCCTTAGAGCTGATGATTGTCAGTTTTCATCTCTTAAGCTTATAATTTTATGATACGGATTTTAGTACAGATTGGTAACACTAATGTATCTAAAACGTTTATGTCATTTTTGTAAGATCGTTTGTGTAGGCCTCAGAGGATTAAAAGAGTCGTAAAACCGGGATCCACTTCACAGAGGTTGGAAGGACCCCAGATAAGTACAGCTTATTCCTAAAGATGGTATTTTTTTTCTCTCTCTTGGTCTTGGGACTCTTGCTATTCCCAATTACTAAGGACATGGGCCTAAGGGTTCCAAATAAGTTCATAAATTTTAACTTCTGTTCCTAGTTGAAAATTGTCTCAACAGGTTTCCACTTGGCTGACAAGACACTCCAAGCTTCAGCTGCTGACTATACTGCTCTGGACTTGCTAAAAGCTGGCATGGACCAGCCCAGCCAATATGAATGATCCTTGTCTCCAGCTGGGTCAAATCAGATGCTTCTGATAAATGCCCCATTGCCTAAATTCCCTCCTTACCTGTGACTAGCCTTTTTTAGCCTTCCTGGGCCCTGACTAACTACACCATGATTCAGCTTGAAGCAGCTATACAAGAGAATACATCATCCCTGCTCCCAAAACAGGATAAATAGGCCAAGTCAAAGAAAAACTCCCTAACACAGGGGAGTCAAACTGGCTAACTATAATGCCCATTGATATACCAAGAAAATGGGCCCAGAGTTATCAACTGATAAGATTCATTAACTAAAATGATTCTACAGTAAGATAAGACATTTAACTTTCTTTATACAGAACCAAAAAGGTTATTATATGGCTTACAATTATTATTTTATATAAATCATTCAAGATTATAATCTGGCTTATATTCAGACCTAAAAGAATCAAAGGTTTGATTCTGATTATAACTTGACGGGGGAACAAAGGGTCCAGGAATATAAAAAGTCTAGGTTTTCTTAACAGACTCCACTAAGGGAAAGCCACATGCTCAGTCACTGGCATTGGGATAGCTAAGCATCCACTCAGAAAAATGGTAGAGCAACATTATAGTTTAAAATCCATATAAATTCCAAATATATCAAAGATTTAAAAACTTAAGACAAAGCTGGAAAGCAGAGGCAGGAGGATCTCTGTGAATTTGAGGCTAGCCTGATCTACAGAGTGAGTTCCAGGACAGCCAGGACTGCTGCACAGAGAAACCCTGTCTCAAAAAATAAATGAATGAATGAATGAATGAATGAATGGAAGGAAGGAAGGAAGGAAGCAAGGAAGGAAGGAAGGAAGAAAGGAAGAGCAATAAAGTAAAAACAAGAAACAAAATGGAAAACAGAAATAAAAATACAGCAATAAAGTAAAAACAAGAAACAAAATGGAAAACTTCTTTAAAACATATTCTTACATAAGCATAAAATGTTGTGAAAAATACCACAGTATTTTAATCTGTAAACACACTACTCTTTAAAAAACTACTTCAAATATATCGTATTTATTGAGTTACATTAACAGTGCAGAATTTATCAATAATTTAGGTGAAGTGTAAAGCTACATTATTCTCAGGTACCTTCTTCATTTCTTTCTAAAATGACCTTACAAACAAAAACATATTATAGGATGAGAATAAATCATAATTCTCTACTTACATTTTCATTTTTCAGGATGAGTTTCAAGATTGCTTCTCTTTGTTTTAGAGCCTAAAACCAAGGAATTTTCCAATTAGCATTTAAAAAACCTACTGGCCAACTAATTTTTGTTTTTCTTTTGTAAGTTTTTAGATAATAACTGAGAGGAAATGCTAAGCTGGTAGAGGTTAAAGCAATGTATCATACAACGCTCTACAGTAACATCTGAGTTAGTCCAATGGATTCTGTTTCTCATTCATGTCTGACAAATACACTCAGTATTTATTGAGTTAAAATAATATTAAAATAACAATGTCTTTCCCATTTTTCTGACACAGAGTATGCCTTACTGGAACTTACTATGTAGACCAGGCTGGACTCAGCCTGTGGCGATTTTTTTGTCTCTATCCCACACATGCTGAGACTACAGCATGGATGACCATGTCAGCTTTTCCTATACAGTCCTATAGTCTTCATTTTTTCCTTTATTAAATTTATGAAAGTTCATCATCAAAAAACACCTTTTAGTTAATTTTTAATTAAGGCTTTTCTTTGTTTTAAAAATTAGCATACAAAGTAACTGTATCATGGCATTTCATACATGTGTCCTTTTCATTAATAATTGGAAGACATGATAATACTGTCTTGGTTCCTCCACTTCAATAAAAACTTCTGTGCTCACGAATATTAGGATGTAAATGTTAATGATTTCCTTCAGTGATACATCATATTTTCACATCAGAGAACAGAGACTACACTTAACTCATGTTATAAAATGACATAAAGCTGGTTGTACTAGAGCATACCTCTAATACAAGCACTTGGAAGGTGGGGAAAGGAGGATAAAGACCTCCAACAATCCTCAACTACACTGTGAAGTCAAAATCAGCCTGGGCTACATGAGAACCTAGCTAAACAACTAAAGCCAGGTGATGGCGGCATATGCCTTTAATCCCAGCACTCAAGAGGCAAAGCCAGGCGGATCTCTGTGAGTTCGAGGCCAGCCTGGTCTACAGAGGGAGATCCAGGACAGGCACCAAAACTACATAGAGAAACCCTGTGTGGAAAAACAAAAACAAAAACAAAAAAAAACTGACTAAAGTCACAATTATATGATTTCCTACAGAAACTGTAGGGTGTTGAGAAGTTCTAACAACCTACTTGAGGGTACATCTTAACAAAAAAGAATGCTAGAAAAAGACAGCAATGAACAAAGGTGTAGTAGCTCATTCCTGTACATCAGAACTTTGGAAAGTGAGGCAGCAGGAGGACTGCCCTGAGTTTCAAGTCACAGAGTTAAACTCTAGTCTCAAAACCAAACCAAAGTAGTAAACTCGGAATGCTGTCCACACTTTACCTTCCTTAGCTAGAGCAGAGCACAGTGGTTCCAGAATCATTATCCATCAGAGAGAAGCCCCAACTAACTGTTAATAATAAATCGCAGTTGTTGTTCTTCAGGCTAGGTATTCAGAAAACAACGGTCCTTTAACCTCTAGTTCCCAAATTCAGCTCTGTTCTTCTAAACCTTCAATTCTATTTTCTTCTGTGTTTTCCTAAGGTAAACTACTAGATAAAGTATGCAGGCAATTTCCAGTTAATGATCTTCTTGGGGAAAGAGCAACTGCACTGATCTTATTAAAGAAAAGGAGTCAGAAAGGACCCAGCCTCGTGGAGTTTCTGATACCTCTCTTTTTCATAAAGAAATCCAAAGAAACAAAACAATTCTTCTTAAAAACCGACTTAAAAGGCAACTATTTCCCTTTACAAAATATAACTAAAACTACTTACAGGCTGGTTGATATGAAACCTTGTAGGCATTCTTCTCATTATAGCCGAGTCAAGGTCTTGAGGGCGATTGGTAGCTCCCATCACTATGACCTAAACATATAAACAAGGCATCAAACTCCACCAACAATAAATATTCTCTGAGGTCCTTATCATTAAGACTTAGAAATGGCCTTTAAACTAACCTTTTTAAGAGAAATCTCACTGTAACCCAGCATTACTCAAATGTTTATAAGAAAAACTGAAGTTAATCATATATTTAAAAAGAAAAATCAAACAATGGCGTATCTGGACAGACTAGTGAAACACACTTGATGTCTACTAAAATATCTACTCTTTAGTTATAAGAACCATTATTGAAGAAGTGTAGGTTTTTTTGTTTTGTTTTGTTTTGTTTTTTTGGTTTTTCGAGACAGGTTTACTCTGTGTAGCTTTGCGCCTTTCCTGGAACTCACTTTGGAGACCAGGCTGGCCTCGAACTTACAGAGATCCGCCTGGCTCTGCCTCCCGAGTGCTGGGATTAAAGGCGTGCACCACCACCACCCGGCTAGAAGTGTAGTTTTTAAAAATGCTTGTATTTCAAAAAAATATGGTCAATGAGTACCTATACATATATATACAAGTATTATAAAAATGTTAAAATGATTTGTATTTTATAAAATATGGTTCCAATACATCTTGGGAATGTGAGTGGAAGGGTTCCTGTAAGTCCTTTCATAAAGTTATGAAACAACCCATAAGTATGAAGATTCTGATGGCAGTAATATATATCAGTTGCTTTTTCTTCTATGTTTCACATCATCATCTCACTGTACTACCGGCTCTGTGGGTGTTAAGCTAAATTTAAGAATTGTATAGAATTTTTGTTTGAAGTTTCAAACAAAAGCTGGATGTAAAAGAAAACATCAAATTGCTGGGCAGGGGGTGGGACAACTTAGTAGTAGAAAGCTCGCCTAGCATATGTGAGGCTCTGTGATCAATCCCCAGAACCCTGAAAGAGACAAATGAAGAATGGGGGAGGGAGGGAGACTGAATTTTAAAAACAAAAGGAAAAATACACTGGTGGCCCTACTAACTTCTGTGTATACTTATAAAAGATGCAGAAATGAAAACACAATAGAATTAAAGACAAAGATACTCAAATAAAAAAAATTTCTTTCTTTTTTTTTGCTTTTTCGAAGCAGGGTGTCATTATACAGCTCTGGCTGTCCTGGAACTCACTATGTAGACTAGCCTCAAACTCACAGAGGATCTGCCTGCCTCTGCTCCCCAGGGCTTGTATAAAAAGCATACACCATCACATCTGGTGAAAATTTCTTAAAGATATCAATAACCTAATGACAGCATAGACCTACTATACAAAATTAATTTGTTATTATTATATAGGAGTATATTTACTTAGCCTTACTTTATTTCTGTCTGACAGTTTTAGATTTCTCAAATAACTCTAGAGCAAGTTTTTAAAATATCTATCAAATTTTATCTATTTTTCTCTTTACATTTAATGATACTCAAAATCACAGAACACAATTATTATTAATTAGCCAAGTCTGCCACCTAGAGGGAGGAACTACAAGTACACATTAACGTTCCACAACATTGAGCAATTCTGTGTAAAGATCAAGTGGTCTTAATCCCCATGTTCATTTTCCTTTGATTTCCTACAATTTATTTAGTAAAGTGACTGAAAAAAATTCAAATGTTTATCAAATGTAAAAGAAAACTTAAAAGTGACTTAATGAGCTAATAACAGAATAAGGAAAAAACACAAAGAGCTGGTCATGGTCTCCTGAGTGCTTTGACCCCATCACTTAGGAGACAAAGGCAAGAAGATCTCCAAAGTCAAGGCCAGGCTGGTCTACCTAGTGAGCTCCAGACCAATCAGTGCTACACAGTGAGACCCTGCCTCATTTAAAACAAAATATAGAAGGATGTTTTGATATGCTATTAGGAGGAATGTGAACTAATATTGAACAATGCTTGTTGAAAACTGCAAAAAAAAAACACAAAAGGAACCTTGTTTATCTAAGGCAATGTTCTAAAAAGAAGAAACAAAAACAAAATATTGAAAAGTGAGCTAAAGAAGCTGTATTTTAAGATAAATTCCAGGTAAACAAAGAAGCCTAAAACAAAGTAAAGATTTCAGTATGGAAGGTGAAGTACTAGAAACAAAATCAAGGAATTGAAATTAATCTAGATAAAATAACCTAATAAATGTGTATAATAAGGAATTCATGATAAAAACTAAAACTATTTGTAGTTTGTTTAAATTTATTTATTTATTTTTTTTGGTTTTTCGAGACAGGGTTTCTCTGTGTAGCTTTGCGCCTTTCCTGGAACTCACTTTGGAGACCAGGCTGGCCTCAAACTCACAAAGATCCGCCTGCCTCTGCCTCCCAAGTGCTGGGATTAAAGGCGTGTGCCACCACCACCCGGCGTTTGTTTAAAATATTAAGGAGTGCTTTTTAAGAGCACTTATACATGTATCAAATAAGTTATGAGTTAAATAATTAAGTTAAAACTCAAATTCAGAAACATGAAAATTTTTAGCATTTAAGAACAAAATCTAAAGAATGGTTGTTAAATTAAAAACAAAGCTCAAAGTATGGAAATAATTTTATTATTTCACATTGAAAATGAGATCTAAATTTATGCTTCAAATCTTAATTGATGGAGATATTAAAAACACCATTATTCTTTATGTCTCACTTCTCCAAGAGGAAGACTGTGTCATTCGTTGCTAAGGTGCCCAGGTGTGACGACAGGCTTCAACGATTATTTACTATTTTTGTTTCTTTTGTGACCAAGTTTGTAAGAAAGCTACCTAAGGTCTGAGCACTATCAATAGTCACTGAAAAGTTAATCTGAAAGAAAAGCTAACTGGTTCATGAAAAAGTAGAATATATCTAAAACTCTTATTCAAGATTATAAATATAAATTTAACTCTTTCAATATACGATAAAAAAAGAAAAAAGGAACATCTTCATTTCTCTCCTCAAACCAAACACATCCTTAATGAAAACAGCAACTGCTACTTGTAAAAAGAGAATTGTGGTTTTTCTAACCAACTAAAATTCCACACCAGAACCACCCCGAGCTGAGGAACTCAGATGAAACATCCCTGGAGACTCCTCAACTGCCTGTGTCTTCTGCTCTAGAGGCCTGAACACCAGACTCTGAAAAGGTATAATCTTCACACATCTCTGACATGATCTAACCACCCAACATTCAAACACATTAAACATCACTATTTAGAAAAACTAATTTGGGGCAGCTTATAAGGTATTTCCATTAATAAATCTTACACTTTTAATTTTTGAGATGGGGTCTCTGTGTAGCCTTTGCTGACCTGGAGCTCACTATACAGACAGGCTTGGCTTCTAACTCATAAAGATCCACCTGCCTCAACCTCCCAAAAACTGGGGTTAAAGGCATGTACCACCATGCCCAGTTTATTTTTAAGACAGGGTCTTACTATGGAGATATGACTGATCTGAACTCATAAAGTAAATCAGGCAGGCATCAAACTGTAGTGATTCTTACTTCACCCTTCTAAATGCTGAGATTACAGGCATGCACCACTGGCCTAGGCCAATCTTATACATTCATTTGAGCCAATTATTAATAGAAAATGTTTCCATAACTATTACCCACATTTATGGTGTTATTTCTTCTCTAACCATTATATTAAAGGCTGTTCCCTTCATCATAAAACTATATTTCAAAGAGGCGATGAAAAAGGAGGACATGTGATTTCATTTTCCTCAGAATGATATGGTTCTGACTTCTAATTTATGGTAGTAGGGTGAAATTAAGAGATTCTTAAGTGCTGTGGGATGTTCTGTATGGCAAATGTGTTGCTGATTAGTCAATAATTAAAACACTGATTGGCCATTGGCTAGGCAGGAAGTGTAGGCGGGACAAGGAGGAGAATAAAGCTGGGAAGTGGAAGGCTGAGTCAGAGAGACACTGCCAGCTGCCACGATGACAAACAGCATGTGAAGATGCCAGTAAGCCATGAGCCACGTGGCAAGGTATAGATTTATAGAAATGGATTAATTTAAGCTGTAAGAACAGTTAGCAAGAAGCCTGCTACAGCCATACAGTTTATAAGCAATATAAGTCTCTGTGTTTACTTGGTTGGGTCTGAGCGGCTGTGGGACTGGCGGGTGACAGACATTTGTCTTGAAGTGCACATCAGACAAATGAGGCCAGGACTCATGAGAAAAACACTGAAGTGTTTGAAAAGCCATCCAGTAGAAACAGGTCTTGACTCATAGGTAGCAAACACATGTGCAGAGCCAGGGAAACAGTTCAGCAGTGAGGACATTTGTCACCAAGCCTGAGTTAGAATCCTGCGTACCTACACAGTAAAAAGAACCGACTCCTGAAAATTGTCCTCTGACCTCTACATGCATGCTGCAGCATGAATATCCTCCCTTTCTCATACCAAGTATTTTTTAATTTAAACAAAAACACATATACATAGAAACACACAACTCCTGAGACTTCATAATTTGCAGCCAAGTAACATGGATAACTCTTGAATGTGTTTGTAATGAAAGAAAAAAAATGTGGCATGAGACTGTAATTCCTGCCCTTCGTAAACGATTTAAAGTTCGAAGCCAGCCTAGATGACAAAGGTTTGTCATCCTGACTGGACAGTAGTTTTCTCCCTTCCACTGCACTTGTATCTAGCATGTAGAAAATTTATTAGTGTTTTATCACATACAAAGCCCTCAAAGTAGGTGAGATTTCACTTGCTCTTTTTATTTTTGCATTGCAGTGATGGGGATTGAACTCAGGGCCTGCTAGGTAAACACTAAATTACATCCCTAGTCCTTGATTTTCCAGATAGGCCTCACTGTATACCACAGGCTGGTCTGCAACTGAGGATCTCGCTCCTCAGTTTCATAAACATCGGAATCACAAGCTTGTAGTACTATACCAGCCAACATTTTTTTTTAGGCAAGATCTCACCTCACCATGTAACCCAGGCTAGCAAGAGACTTCTGAAATCCTCCTGTTCCTACCTTCCCAATGTTGGAATTACAGGTGGACAACAATGAACATTAACTCAATTGCTGTCATTTAAAAAAATATTTATTTTAGACTTACTTTATGTGTATGAATGTTTGCCTAAATGTATTTATGTGCACTGCTTTGCATGCCTATTGAATCCTCTGAACTGCAGTTATATATGGTATAACATGGGTGCTGGGAACTGAACCTGAGTCCTCTGCAAGAAGAGCCTGTATTCATACTTTCTAAACTATCTCTCCTCTCCCAATGTTGTAATTTGTTTTTTAAGAATAGTTTATTAGCGGCTGGAGAGACGGCTCAGCAGTTAAAAGCACTGCCTTCTCTTCTAGAAGACCCAGGTTCGATTCCCAGCACTCACAAGGCAGCTCGCAATAGACTGTAACTCCAGTCCCAGGGGATCTGACACCTCCACACAGGCACACATGCAGGCAAAACACCAATGCACATAAAATAACAATAAATCATTTCCAAAAAAAATTTTTTAAAGATTTTTTTTTCATGGAAAAAGAAAAAGATTAACTAAGAACACCAAATTAAAAATATTCAGTATTATGGTAGTGAATCTGTCAGAAGTCAGTATTTATGGGAGAAATGTGGAAGCAAAATAAATTATCTGACTGGCTATAGTTACAAAACTTCCAGGTTTTGTGTGAAATGGAGTCTCACCATGTTGTTGCTCCGGTTGGCCATACACTTTCACTCCTGGCGTCCTGTGTAGCTAGGACTACAGGTGGAGGCCAATGTGCACGGCTGGTTTTGTCTGGATTAGTGGGGAGGAAGTCTTAGTCCATAGCCACATTTGGGACTGAACACATGGGTGGCTCCAGGGGATAAGATTACAGTATTTTGTTTCACATACACCTTTACCAGAAATTACCCAAGTTAAGCCTGGCTTATATTTGCAATATAAAAGGGTTAAGACTACTTGTGAAGTCTCATTTCTCTTCATTTTAATTTTGTATTCTCCTCTTCCAGGAATCTACTCTACACATAGAGCATTATTTTTCGTTATGACCATTAATGGAACACTATAGAGGCAAATACAAATCACTGTTGATTCTATGTACTCTGGGGTTCAGAGTCACAAAGCAGCAACTCTACAGGGCATGTGAGCTCCTCTAATTATAGAAACCTGCTGGTAAGCATTAAGATGGGTGAAGTTCATAAAAATCATGTTCTTCTGGATCCTTATTACTTAACACTAAGTGTAAAAATAATGAAAAAGACTTTTGTATACAAGTGCTATAAACACCCCAGCAAATTCCCTATTGAAAACATAACCATTCACGTTTAGGGAAGAATCTATTCAAATACCTGGCAGCTGTGATCAGTATCCAGTCCATCCCAGAGGCTCATAAACTGAGCTTTCATCATGGCTGTAGCTTCATGGTCAGAACTTGAACGGTTTCGTAGAAAGGAGTCTAAAAGAAAAAGGTCCTTAAGCTTAGTAACTAATGATGGATTATTTATCCATGGTATAGTTTAAAATTTTTAAAAAGCTGTCAACTTCATAACACAAGGAAGAGGGCTGGGGATTATTTATGCTGTTTCAGGTATTATCCTGATTTAAAAAAAAAAAAAAAACAATCCTGGTAAATTCTTGAGCAAATACAGAAGAGATTTTTTAAAAAGGTTCTAATATGAGAGGCTGGACAGGGGCTAAGTAGAGAGTATTGGGAGAGAGCCTAGGTATGGGGCTCTACCTTTTAATTACCTGAACCCTTTATGTTCTTAATTACGCTATCATACACTCCTCCCTCCTCATACTCTCTTGGTAATACACAAAAAGAAAAAATGCCTAAGATACTATTAAGGGAGAAAAAATGAAAACAGAAAATGGTTTAAACACATGTGCTCGCATATGTGTATGTGTGTACTTGACAAAAAGCCTTAAGTAAACAAAATGTAGAGCCTTTGCTTCTCAGAGATGCTTGCCTTTAAAGACAATTTAACATTCCCTTTAAAATTATTTTCTCTTTAATCCCAGCACTTGGGAGGCAGAGCCAGGCGGATCTCTGTGAGTTCGAGACCAGCCTGGGCTACAGAGCAAGATTTAGGAGGCACTAAAACTACACAGAGAAACCCTGTCTCAAAAAACCAAAGTGGGGGGGCTGGAGAGATGGCTCAGAGGTTAAGAACAGTGACTGCTCTTCCAGAGGTCCTGAGTTCAATTCCCAGCAACCACATGGTGGCTCACAACCATCTGTAATGAGATCTGGTGCCCTCTTCTGGCCTGCAGACAGACAGACATACATGCAGGCAGAACATTGTATACTAAATAAATAAATCTTTAAAAAAAAAAAACAAAGAGGGGGGGAATTATTTTCTGCCTTCAAATACAGACCATTTCACAACATGTCTTCATTTTTTCCTTTTCTTTTTTCTTATTTTGGTTGTTTTTGAGACAGTTTCTCTGTGTAGCTCTGGCTGTCCTGGAACTCAACTCTGTAGACCAGGCTGGCTACAGACTCAGAGATCTGCCTGCCTGACTCTACCTCCTGAATGCTGGGATCAAAGGCATGAACCACCATGCTCGGCTAAAACGCTTTCATCAAAGGAGGAGAACAATTGGATATGGTGGTTCACTCATGTGATCCTAGCACTCAAGAGGCAAGACAAGAGGACTGAGAGCTGGAGGCCAGTCTGCGCTCCACGCTCCACTGTGACTTCTGAGTCATCAAGGGATACAGAGTAAAATCACCTCCAAAAGCTAGAAGGAAAATAAATAAATAAATGGAAATAAATAAAAAATAAATAGAAAAGTTTCTTTCTAAACACAAAAAGACTGAAAAGTCCTAAGAAGGGGGGAAAAAAAATCAATAGTAAAAGTAAGTCTTCGCCGGGCGGTGGTGGCGCACGCCTTTAATCCCAGCACTCGGGAGGCAGAGCCAGGCGGATCTCTGTGAGTTCGAGGCCAGCCTGGTCTCCAAAGCGAGTTCCAGGAAAGGCGCAAAGCTACACAGAGAAACCCTGTCTCGAAAAACCAAAAAAAAAAAAACAAAAAAAAAAAAAAAAGTAAGTCTTGTATTTTCTAGCACAATTCCCATTTCAAGTGCTTTGTTTAGCCATGTAAGTCACTGGCATTACTAATTAACTATCAGGTCTCTCTGCCTTGAATCAACAGCTCATAGTCTACCAATTGTGTTTGAAAATGACATAAAATTGTGTTACAATATATTAGTCCAAGCTTAAAAGAAAATAATTCCAAGAGAACAAGGCATGGTAGTGTATGCCTTTAAGCCCAGCATATGAGAGACTAAGGCAACAGAATGGTAACTTTCAAGGTCAGTCTTGAATCTCTACGGTGAGTTCCAGGATAGCCTAAGATACAGGGCTCCCATATCTTTGAGACCATTTCAAAACCAAATCAACAACAAAAAAAGTAATTCCAGAAACTACATATCACTATGACAAGATAGTCCTTCATATATATATTCTGGATGTTCTTAAACAGTTGTAATTTTATATAAAGTTTCCTGTTATAGGACTATGTATCAGACTAACGTCTATACTGGATAAAGTTTAGTCAGTTACTTTTTGAAGATAAACACTATAAATTCACCTAATTTAACCTTTCTTAATTATCTCCACTATCAAGAAGCAGTGCTTGCAAGATAACTATTTAAAATATTATGAAAACCCCACAATGTTTCATAAACACAACTACATCAGTAATTAACATTCAATATAAATAGACTAGAAACTATATGCTGCTTACAAAAGACACAACTAAATAACAATGATTTGGAATAATAGCAAGATAGAAAAAGACTGCAAATACTAACAGAAACACTGGATGATCAGGGTATGGTGGCTCATGCCTGTAATCCTAGCACTTATTAGGCTAAGGCAGGAGGATCATTTGATTGAGTTTCAGAGAGAATCTATCACAGAAGAGCAAGAAGGGGAGGGAAGAATATGGGAAGAGAACAAAAGATACGACATATATGCTTCTAAGGTACACTCTTACAAAAGCCCAGGTTGGCATGGAACTTGCTATGTACCTGAAGACGTCCTTGAACCTCTCAAGTGCTAGGACCACAGGTATGTACCACTACACTCAGCTTGGATAAAGTATTTCTTAAGGAAGTTAATGTGTATCTGACAAATCATGTTTCAACAACAGGACAACCGTATGTCAAATACACAAAGGCTAGGCTATAGTCTAGAAAAAGAGCATTTGCCTAGCATACTCAAGTGCTGATGTCTGACTCCTAAGCCCAAAACTAGCAATATAGGAAAAGTCGACATGTAACATTAATTTTGGTGATAACTTTTACATAACATTTAAAAGCATAATCTCTTTAAAAAAAAGATTTAATTTATTGAAATTAGAAAGTTTACTCTACAAAAGGATACTGTTAAGAGAATAGGAAGAAAAGCTATAGACTGAGAAAAGTATCTGCAAAACATATACCTGACAGACTTCAATTCAAACATAAAGCCAGCACTTAAAATCCAAAACTAAGCTAACAAATTTAATTTAAAAGGAGGCAAGATCTGAACACTTGACCCAAGAAGTTCTGTAGATGGTAATTAAGCATGAATGTGTGTATGTGCATAAATAAGATTTTGGTTTTGTTTTTTTAAGGCAGAGTCACATTCTGTAGACCAAGATGGCCTTGAATGCACACAAACCCAGTCTCAGCCTAAGTACTGGGATTACTGGTATCAGCCACCATGCCTGGGAAGCTTTAGGTTTTTTTTTTTTTTTTTTTTTTTCGGTTTTTCGAGACAGGGTTTCTCTGTGTAGCTTTGCGCTTGTCCTGGAGCTCTGTCTGTAGACCAGGCTGGCCTCAAACTCACAGAGATCCGCCTGCCTCTGCCTCCCGAGTGCTGGGATTAAAGGCATGCGCCACCACCGCCCAGCTTTAGGCTTTTTTAAAGGTAAGTAGGTATATAAATTGTTTCAATAGAAGAAAAAGAATAGACAGCTTCAAATGCATAGAAGGGAAAGGAAAATTCTAAAGTGGTAGGTTATCCACCAAACTGGTAAACAAAAAGGACAAAATTATGTAACAGAAATGAATGTTGACTACATCAGCTTTCATAATGATTACAAACTGGAAATAAATGTGACTGTATTAGTTTTCATAATAAATATAAATTAGATACTTTCCAGCTAAAAGGGGAGTTGTGTTTTAAAGTTTAAAAAAATCCAGCTATAAGCTTTTTTGTTCAATGAAGATATACACCAAAAACTCAAAATGAGTTGAAAGAGTAAACATATATGAACAAATACACAGGGCAAGTAAGTAATAAAAAAATGTACTGGGCACCTTCTCTCTTTATACATGCATTTTTTTATTTGAAAAGATTTATTTTTTTTTTAAGATTTCTTTATTTATTATGTATACAGTGTTCTGCCTGCACATATGCCTGCAGGCCAGAAGAGGGCACCAGATCTCACCAGATGGTTGTGAGCCACCATATGGTTGCTGGGAATTGAACTCAGGACCTCTGGAAGCACACCAGTGCTCTTAACTGCTGAGCCATCTCTCCAGCCCGAAAAGATTTAGTCTTAAAAGTATGTGTGGGACAGAGAGTAAATGAGAGACAGAGAGAGACTAGGAGTGCCTGCAGATGCCAGTAGAGTTCATCAGACCCCCTGGAATTAAAATTACATCCAAGGTGCCTGCTAGGTCCTCTGGGAGAGCAGCAACCACTCTTTTTTTTTTTTTTTTGAGACAGGGTTTCTCTGTTAACAGCCCTGGCTGTCCTGGAACTTGCTGTGCAGACCAGGTTGACCTCAAACTCATAGTGTTCCAACTGCCTCTACCTTCTGGGTCCTGGGATTAAAGGTGTGCACCTCTACACCTGGCCTGCAACCACTCTTAACAGCTAAGCCAACTCTCCAGCTTTTTCTTTTTTTAACTAGTTTTAATTTTGTTTTGTTTTTCAGTACTAGAAACTGAATATAGAGCTTTGCACATGCTAGGTAAGCACTCAACCACTAAACCAAATCCTTGAACTTCTCTGGTTTTATTTAGCCTATCATACTACATAAAATTGCATAATTTAGCAATAATAAGTCACATGTAAAAAACCCTAATAATTAAACAATGTAAAAATATATTTTAGGGGGTGGTGGCACACGCCTAATCCCAACACTCAGGAGGCAGATGCAGTTTGAGGCCAGCCTGGTCTACAAAGTAAGTTCTAGGATATCAAAGGCTGTTACACAGAGAAATCCTGGGATGGGGGGGGTGATTTTAATTAAAAAATTGTAACATTTACTTGTATTTTTTAATTTATGTGTATCTGTATGTGTATATGACATATGTTTGGGTACCTACAAAGGCTAGAAGAGGGTGCTGGATTCCCTGTATCTGGAGTTACACACATTTGTAAGCCACCTAACATGGGTGGGGGCTGGGAACCAAACTCAGGTCCTCTTAAGGAGTAGCAAGTACTCTTAACCAGTGGGCCATCTCTACAGCCCTTATAATAATATATTCTACCAAGAACAAAAATATAGATGAGTCAAAAAATTTAGAGTCAACTAAAATCCAGGACTTAAAAGGTAGAATTTTTTTTATGTTACCTATCCAAATGCAAGACTAAAATTAAATTCCTACTCACAATATATGCAATTAAAAAAGACAATTTCTTTTTTCACCTCCATTTTGTTTTGTTTTGTGACAGAGTCTCATTGAGACCAGCTTGGCCTTGAACCCACTATGTAGTGGCTACAAAAGACATTGAACTTTAAATCCTCAAGTCTATCTCTAAAACGCTAGAATCACAGGTGTGTGCCAACAGGCCCAGTTTATATTTATGATGTTGGGACTGCCCCAAGCTTTAATGCAAGCTAGGTAAGCATTCTAGCAACTGAATTTCATTCCCAACCATTGGCCTGGAACTCTTGATTCTTTTATTAGCCTTTCCAGTGCTGGGAGTGCAGGCATACACCCCACCTCTCCCAGATTAGTGCAACATTTTTCTTTTTTGGTGTGTGTGTAGCATTTTCAAGAGCAAGTAATCCCTACATTAAAGGATATTCAGCATCTAGGTATTTACCATAGATAATTGATGGGTGATGGTGCTCTGTATGCTGTGAATGTGTTGCTCTGATTGGTTGATAAATAAAATGCTGATTAGTCAGTAGCCAGGCAGGAAGTATAGGCGGAATTCTGGGAAGAGGAAGGCTGAGTCAGGAGACGCCAGCCAGCCACCCAAGAAGCAACAGATGCAGGTAAAGTCACAGAAAACGTGGCAAAACATAGATTAATAGAAATGGGCTAATTTAAGATATAAGAGCTAGCTAGCAGGAAGCCTGCCATGGCCATAGTTTAAAAATAATATAAGCCTCTGTGTGTTTACTTGGGTCTGAGCGGCTGCAGACCAAGCGAGACACAGAAAAACTTTCAACTACAGATAATCATATGCACATATGTTTATATCTACAATATATATACTATTTGAAGTTGAGAAAAGACATCTAGCAATCAGATAAGGGAGTAAACAAGCTAATGGTCCATTTTATTTACATCATGGAAATTATATATGGCATATTAGAATAGATATTTTGAGGCTAGCAAGATGCTCAGAGGTAAAAGCTATGAGTGCATAAGCCTGGTGGCAGGAGTTTGATCTCTCCAGTCCTGTGCAAATGTGGAGGAACCACTCGACCAAGCTGCCTTCTGACCTCCATATGTATACAGTGGCACACTCAACCGTACAAATTCTTTAAAAAGAACAAATCTTGGGGCTAGAAAATGGCTCAGCAGTTAAGAGTGCTTAACTGCTCTTCCAGAGGTCCTGAGTTCAATTCCCAGTAACCACATGATGGCTTACAACCATCTATAATGGGACCTGATTCCCTTTTCTGGTGTGTATGATGACAGAGCACTCATATACATAAAATATGTGAATAAATAAATCTTAAAAAAAAAAAACAACAGCAAATCTTTTGGTTTACCACAGACATAGTTAAATACTAAAATTAAATCTGGTTCTCTACACAGCACCTTTAAAATAAGATGCTCACATAGAAAATAGCATACCTATTTCATCTATAAATATGATGGAAGGTTGCAGCTTTATGGCAAGGGAGAAAACAGCAGCAGCCAGTTTCTGAGATTCTCCATACCACTTATCAGTCAGTGTCGAAGGCTGGAGGTTAATAAATCGACAGCCTGCTTCTTTGGCTGTAGCTTTGGCAATTAACGTTTTCCCACAGCCTGGAGGTCCATACAGAAGAACACCTGAAAATCAACATCATTTCATTATTACCCTTAAGAAAGTAAGAGGTTTCTTTAGTTTACATGATAATACATAGTACTAATTTCACACACAATAAAATTTTCTCAATATTCAACTCCTCTATTAATTTTTCTTAGAAAAGGTATTTTAAAAAATGGACTGTATTTAGGTTCAATGTCAGCAAGGACAGGTATTTGGAGATTACAGCATCATAGTCCTTTCTCACATGCAAAGGTCCAGGTCAAGATCCTAAAAACTATTATCTTAAAGTACAAACTCATACCTCTTGGTCATTGGCTGACCAATCAAACCATCCAATGCCTTCCACCTTTTCAAGCTAAGAGAGTACCACAGCACCCTGAGAATAACCTCTAGGTAACAGCAGCCTCCAAATAGACTGTCAGACACATTCTGCTATTGCTCACAGACTTACATCTCCACAAAAAGGACATGCCTTTTCTCTAAAAAGGAATTATCAGTCAGTATCATTTCCAAAGTATGAAACTGTGTAATCCCCTATAATCTTTACTGACAGCAATCTGCCCCTAAATACAAAATAAGGTGGTTAATATTTTTTTTTTTTTTTTTTTTGTTTTTTTTCAAGACAGGGTTTCTCTGTGTAGCTTTGCGCCTTTCCTGGAACTCGCTTGGTAACACAGGCTGGCCTCGAACTCACAGAGATCCGCCTGCCTCTGCCTCCCGAGTGCTGGGATTAAAGGTGTGCGCCACCACCGCCCGGCTAGGTGGTTAATATTTTAACATATTAAGATATCTTAACAGTTTATGGTCTTAAATATTTTGGCAATCGCCAGGCGATGATGGCGCACACCTTTAAACCCAGCACTTGGGAGGCAGAGGCAGGCGGATCTCTGTGAGTTCAAGGCTAGCCTGGTCTACAGAGCGAGATCCAGGACAAACACCAAAACTACACAGAGAAACTCTGTCTCAAAAAACCAAAAAAAATTTTTTTGGCAATCATTACTGTTTTTCAGTTAAAAGCAGCATTTTCTGAATCATCACTAAAATTATAAATTATCTACAGACAGGCTTGTCTTAATCCAGCCTTAAATATTTAATTTAAAGCTCAATTTTTCTCATACAATAATATTTTAGAAATGACAACATCTATAGATGGTATATGATAGAATTAACTGAAAGTATTTTGGAAGTATTTAATATTGTCTCAAAACATAATAAAAGTAAAACTCAAAGCAAGTTGGGAAATGGTGGTGCACACCTTTTATTCCAGCAGTCGGGAGGCAGAGGCAGGAGGATCTCTGTGAGTTTAAGGCCAGCCTGTCTTGTCTACAGAACGAGTTCCATGACAGCCAAGGGAAAAAGGAAAAAAAAAGTTCAAAGCCAGAGAAAAACTTGATGAATTTCCCCTTCAAAAATTACTATAAATATTTTTAAATGAAAATTTTGGCTGGGTGGTGGTTGTGTACATCTTTTATGCCAGCAAGTTCCAGGGTGGCCAGGGCTATACAGAAACCCTATCTGAAACACATACACACACACACACATACACATACACACACACACACACACACACACACACACACACACACACACACACACACAAATAAATACACACATAAATAAATAAATAATAAATAAATAAATAAATAAAGGATAGACAGGTAGACAGACAGACAGACAGATAGATAGATAGATTGAACTTGTTTCCACAAACTTAACCATTTTTTTTTCACTTCAAAATAATGTTCAAACTTTTCCTTAAGTATACACATATTTTTCCCACTGGTTTTCATTTTTTAAGACTAAAGTTATAATATCCACCAACCCAAGTTTAATCATTTTAAACTAAGCTTTCTAAAAGGCCTATTTTAAAATTTAGATCTCTAAGCTTTGTCATCAGTAACTGTCAATATTTTCAAGCAACCTTTTCTTTTGAAAGGTTTTGCCACACACGTACACAGCTCAAACTGGCCTCACACTTGCCCTCCAGAGTACTGAGACTTCAGGCATGTGCCACCATGCCTGGCTCTTCTTTGCAATGTTTAACTAAGTCATTTAGGTGCTTAAAATGTTTACTGACACTTTATGTGGGGGTAGCCACGTAAAACAATAAAGAATTGTAAGGTAATGTCATTTCATTTAATGCTGAAAATACATTTAGGATCACATTTTAAAGTGGAATGCAAATCTAACTAGCAGCAAGCTTTTGTATATCTGTTAATTAAATCTCAGAGTTTTTAAAACAAAGTACTGATACAAAAGCTCCTGTATTTTATACACTTTCAGCTATACCATCACTTTACAAATATACACAGTACCTTAAGAATCTGACTCACTTCAAAGTATACATTTATCGCTTTGAATATTTTACCCATGGTGTAGCTATATTAATTCTTAGCAGATTAAAGTTTTCCAACTATTTCTCATCACAAATTACAATTAGTATTCTCAACTACGCAACTATTAATGTCTAAGAATTAAATGTGCAATAAAAGCTTTTAAGTGTCATAATCCTCTGGTAGATGGAGCTATGACAAAGTGCATGTGAGGAGATGTCAATGTCTCATTTTATGAATAGGATCCTTCCTAAGTCTTACAGTAGTGTTTGAGTGCTATCATTGGAATTACCCATTACATTCCTGTATGGATGCTGTTTCACCAACACTCAAACAGTCTCCTAACATTAGCAATGAATCCAGCAAGGCTATTCAAAGGAGCACCTCTTCTCTTTTTGCTCAAGTGGTCTCCATGGCATTAACATGTATGATGAGTAATAAACAGTTCTGTAAGTAGTGAGACACTGTGCAAACTTTTCAGATTTCCTGAACTAATCTGATACTTCCACAACAGATCCAACAAATAAAAAAATGTTTTCTTCTATAAAAGTTTAAAAATTCACACCCTCTTTAAAGGTTAATCTTTGTGCCTTTTCCCCCTAGACAGTCTCCCTCTCTGATGCTGGGATTACAGGCATGTATCACCACATCTAGCTATACTTATATAGGATCAGCTATGATGGATTTTTTTTTTTTTTATAAAAGCTTTGCATGGTTAAGTGCTATAAGTAACTAAAAGATTAGGTTAAGTAATAACACATGCATAAACAAATCCAAATTTGAGATGATCTTCAGTAGTGACAAATTTATTTACATAGAGTAGACAAGCATTTCAAATAAAGGGACTATTGTACAGTTGTCTTATAGGAAGTAGAATTCACCAAAATTTCAAAAGTGGAAGAATTAGTGAATATTTTAAAATTCTTTATAAAACAATTCACTGGATCTCAGCATTCTACTAAAAATCTGATTTCGCCGGGCGGTGGTGGCGCACGCCTTTAATCCCAGCACTCGGGAGGCAGAGCCAGGCGGATCTCTGTGAGTTCGAGGCCAGCCTGGGCTACCAAGTGAGTTCCAGGAGAGGCGCAAAGCTACACAGAGAAACCCTGTCTCGAAAAAAAAACCAAAAAAAAAAAAAAAAAAAATCTGATTTCATGGAAAACAGTCCCTAAAGGCAAAAAAACTCCATGTTTTCTAGCCTCTCAAAGCTTAGGCAAATTCATACACTAACAGTACCTTTTGGAGGCTGCAGAAGCCTGGAATTCTCAAACAAATGCTTCTTTTTGATAGGTAAGATGACTGTGTCCTTCAGATCTGTAATGACATCATCTAAACCTGCTATATCACTCCATGTAACCTGGCAAAAGTTAAAGTCAACATTAATTTCACAACTTACATACATGTGAGCATGCACATACAGGCACCCCTCCCAATGGCAAACTATTTTATAATTTGATAATTACATGTGAATAAAAGGTTAAAGTTGTAGATAAAAATAAACTTTTCATGGGAGTAACTAAATTAATAAATTCTATGACACTGGGGAAAAAAGAATTTAACAATTTCTTATTACTGAGAAAAACACCATGCTGGAAGCATTGCTCAGGAATAGGAGACCTTGTCTAGCACACAAAGCCCTGTTGCAGGGTTCAACTCCAGCAACAGGAAAACAAAAAGCACACACATGCAAAACCTGTAAAGATTGAATAAGGTAAACTCATTCCACACATGAGAAAGAAACACTCTGACATTAAAAAAAAAGACTGAGAACAGTCAGGCGATGGTGGTGTAAGCCTTTAATCCCAGCACTCAGGAGGCAGAGGCAGAGGCAGGCGGATCTCTGTGAGTTTGAGACCAGCTTGGTCTACACAGTGAATTCCAGGACAGTCAGGGCTACACAGAGAAAGCCTATCTCAAAAAAACAAAAAGAAAAAGAAAAGAAAGAAAGAAATAGTATTGAAAAATCTTCTAAGTCATTAATCCCAGCACTTGGGAGGCAGAGGCAGGTGGATCTCTGAATTTGAAGCTAGCCTGGTCTACAGACTAAGTTCCAGGTCAGCCAGGTTCTACACAGAGAAAACCCTGTCTTGAAGGGGAGAAAAAAGAAAGAAAAATGAAAAATCTTAAAATCTTCTACACTCCACTTTTAAAAATAAATAGGGGTGTGGGTGGTATGTTGGAGAGATGGCTCAGTAGTTTCGAGCACTGGCTTATCTTCCAGAAGAGCCAGGTTTGATTCCCAGAACCCACATGGCAGTTCACTGCCATCTATAACTTCAGTTCCAGGGGATCTGATGCCTTCTGGCCTCTACAGGCACTAGGCAAGCATGTGATGCACAGAAATACATGCAAAGAAAACACTAATGCACATAAAAATAAGTACATAAAAATGTAAAAATAAATTATAGGGAGGTCTTGGTTAAAACCCCTCACTAACATTTGTGAAGCTCTAAGTTCAATCTCCAGCACCAAGCACCACATATACACACACATACAACAAACAAACAAACAAATAAAAAAGGAAAAGTGAACCTAGACCTCATTCTAGCTAGCACAGTAAATGATCAAGTCAGAGGCAATACTTTACAATATATTTACTCTCTTTAAGCTTGGGCCAGGGGAACAAATCAGTAGACAAATAAAAGAATGCTAGTTGTAATCAAAACAAAATATTGTCTATTAGTACATCCTTATTCACAAACAAATACAGTTGCCTCTCCTCCTCACAAAATACTGATACTGGAAATTTCTAAGTAAAAATAAAGCAGGGGCTTAATTCTAGAGTATGTATATATCTCTGCATATACATATAATAAAGACACAGATTTTTATTTTCTAGACTTAGACATGCAGCTATCATATTTCATTCTACAAATTTATACCAACATAGCATTAATGTATTAGCTAAGTATATTCTATATATCTGTTGCTATATTTATACAGTAACCTGGAATTTGTAAATTATATTACTCTGATCTTCAAAAACTTTACCAAGTAAGTAAACAAATACTATTATATTTATTATCCTTGAGGATAACACATGAGGGATCTGAAACAGGAAATCACCTGCAGAAGCACTGAGTTCTTAGAAAACTTGGTATTCAGGATCCTATGTTGTTGACCATTTTAAAAAAATTAGGAAATTGCCGGGCGGTGGTGGCGCACGCCTTTAATCCCAGCACTCGGGAGGCAGAGCCAGGCGGATCTCTGTGAGTTCGAGGCCAGCCTGGGCTACCAAGTGGGTCCCAGGAAAGGCGCAAAGCTACACAGAGAAACCCTGTCTCGAAAAACCAAAAAAAAAAAAAAAAAAAAAATTAGGAAATCTAGACTAAGCTCTCCAATTAAAGACCATAAGATTATACAAGTTTCCTACACTGCACGAATTTCACTAAGCCTTTGTGTGCCGAGTTAACACAGCAGGCTTCAGACAGTATCTTTAACAAGCTGGTCCTTGGCTACTATCTGGAAACTTAGATTTGGAGAAATTTCCTACCATTCCTTGATAAAAACAGCTCACTGTCCCCAAACTGCCTAACAATATGGTTTATGGAGAATATCTCTTTTCCTGTAGGAGTCCAGAATTTTGATACACATATGGAAAAGGAGTCTATATGAACAGGCCCCAGGAAAAAAACTGGATTATGTCTCCAGTAACCTTTCTGGTGGTGACACGGTACATGTTGTCCTGGCTTGATACAATAATGGACATGGTCTTTTAACAGCACTTGGAAAGCACTCTTAGGAAAGTGCCCGGCTTTCTCCAGGCTCTGATCCACTCTTTTTTTCTATTGCTGCTCTGTCTTGTATCTAACGCATGCAATGAATCACATATGTGTTGGCAACATGCTGAGTCCCTCCTGACTCCTCTTAGAGACCCTCTGAAATTAGTCATGGTCTTTCAGATCTTTGATACAGACTGCCAGATCCCCCACCCCGCAAAAAGTAAAAGTAAAACAAGATTAAAGATACATACATGCATATTAAGAGGGTCTACTAAATGAGCAGCAATACTCATTTCATATTCTGAAAGCTTCACATTTTTCACACCAATTTGCTTCATCAGTTTTTCTGCCTAGAAAGGAAAAAAAACAAGCATCCTTTGATATTTAGACACTGACAGTTCAAAACAGATAAAATAGAATTCTGAACAGTAATGAACAGAAGACATAATACTTTTCCAGGGATACTCTAGGCCCCTTGTGACTTTTGGGTTAAAAAAAAAACTGAGGGTCTACTCTACTGAAACCAAGAAAATTTAACCAGCTTTTGAGAAATGAAAGCTTGGCACGCACAGTGGTAGGAAAAAACTCAGAACTTGGGAGGCTGAGGACTGAGTGAGAGCTGGGCACAGTAATGTCTGTAATACCATGGCTGAGGCAGAAGGGCTTAAGGACATCCTCTGCTACCAAGCAAGTTCAAGGTCATCTTGGGCTACATGAGACCAGTCTCAAAAGGGGTGTGTATGTCTGTGTGTCTGTGTCTGTGTCTGTGTGTGTGTGTGTGTGTGTGTGTGTGTGTGTGTGTGTGTGAGAGAGAGAGAGAGAGAGAGAGAGAGAGAGAGAGAGAGAGAGAGAGAGAGAGAGGAGAGAGAGAGAGAGAAAAGAAGGGAGAGAGAGAAGGAGGGAGGGAGGGAACACATGATTGAAGAGATTAGTTCAAGCTCCCTTGGCTCCCAAGAGACCTCAGGGTAATTTGTTTTCTTTCCTAGTAGGATTATGATGACAGTTACAGGTAGAGTTGTCAATATAAAAGCCCAATGAATTAATATCAACAATAGACAACTGAGTTTCTTTCCTTATGTTAATAAAGTATCTGAAACAGATATCCAATTTCCTTGAACTTAATATATCCACAAGAAGTGTTTGTACATGTGTACTTTTAAAGTGTTAAATTTTATTTTGTGTACATGAGTGCTCTATCTACATATACGACTTTATGCTAGAAGACGGCATCAGATCCCACTACTGATGGTTGTGAGCCACCATGTGGTTGCTGGGATTTGAACTCAGGACCTCGGGAAGAGCAGCGTGCTCTTAACCACTGAGCCATCTCTCCAGCCCCCTCCTTAATCTCTTGAACATGCATACCTTCTTCTTTCACTACCTATAAATAAAGCTTTTGAGTCAGCTATTAAAGGTATCTATTTTAGCACTGGTTAAGACAATAATATATTCTTCCCTGTACACCTTGCACAGGCAAGACTCAAAAAAAGTGGATTTCAACCAGGGACATTATATTTCCCAGGGAACATTTGACAATGTCAAAAATACTTGTCTGTCACACTTGGGGACGAGGAGGACATGGTGTTATCAGCATCTAGTCCAATGGTTCTCAACCTGTGAGTTATGATCCCTTTGGAGGTCTAAAGACCCTTTCATATGGGGTCTCATATCAGATATCCTGTAATGTAATGATATTTACAATTCCTAAAAGTAGCAAAATCATAGTTATAAAGTAGCAATGAAGTAATTTTATGGTTGGGGTCACCACAACATGAGGAACTGGGTCACAGCATTAGGAAGGTTGAGAACCACTGATATAGTCAGTCAAAGCAAGACACAGAAGCCCCTGCCCACATCAAAGAATTATCAGGCCCAAAATGTCAAAAGTACAGAAACGGAGAAATCTCAAGTTTTTCCTTATTAGCTAGCTGCCTTGAAAATGTTACTGTATGTCACAACTGTCTACTATAAATAATAGCCTTTACTAATACATGGAATTTCCTAAATAAAAATTACATTGCGAGCTAGTAAGATGGCTCAGCAGGTAATAGAGCTTGCTGTGAAGGTTGAAGACCTATGTTTGACCCCCAGGACCCATATGATGGAGGGAGAGAACTGACTCTCACAGGTTGTTCTGTGATCTCCATCACATCTCTACTGCAGGTGTGTGTGTGATGTGTTCACATACACAACAAAAAAAATTTTTTAAGTTAAAATATAGTTTATAAAAATAGAAAACACAACATCATTTACCATGTCTCTCCTGCAATAGCAATTCCATTTATGACTTCAGGTTGTGTTGTTAACAATGACAGAAAAGGTAAAAAGAGGGGTTAAAGAGATGGCTCAGTCATTAAGAGCAGTGACTCCTCTTCCAGAGGACCCAGGTTTAACTTCCAACACCCACATCATGGCTCACAACCATCTGCACCACCAGTTCTGGACAAACAGATAACCTCTTTAAGCCTAAGAAGTAGTTAGTAACTATTGTCCTACCTAGGGTTTCTATCGCTGTGAAGAGACACCATAACTCTTTTGAAAAAAACAAACAAAAAAAAGACAGGGTTTCTCTGCATAGCCTTTGGCTGTCCTGGAACTCACTCTGTAGACCAGGCTGGCCTCGCACTCACAGAGATCTCCCAAGTGGTAGGATTAAAGGCATGTGCCACCACTGTCTGGCCACAGTAACTCTTATAGAGGAAAGTACCTAATTGGGGCTGGCTGACATTTAGCACAATATATATATAGTTTTCAAGTAAGTCTTAATTATAATAATCCATTCATATAGGATCTTCTATATGAGTATTTCAAGAGTTCACAGAAAAGAAAAAAGGACAAACTCTTTATCTAAAAGCTCTGGAGCTGGAGAGATGGCTCAGCAGTCAAGAATGCTTAGGGCCTATCTAGAGGACCTAAGCTGGTTCTCAGCACCCACACCCGTAGCTAACAACTACCTGTTAACTCCAGTTCTAGGAAATCTGCCAACTCTTCAGGCTACCATAGGAACCTACATTCATATCCACTTACACAAATAAAAATAAATCTTTAGGGGCTGGAGAGATGGCTCAGAGGTTAAGGGCACTGGCTGCTCTTCTAGAGGTCCTGAGTTCAATTCCCAGCAACCACATGATAGCTCACAACCATCCATAATGAGATCTGGTGCCCTCTTCTGGCATGCAGCTATACATGCAGACAGAACAGTGTACATAATAAATAAATAAATAAATAAATAAATCTTTAAAAAAAATACAATGAAATGAAAAGCCCTGTTACCAAAACAAAAACTGCTAAAATGATAAAAAAAAAAAAAAAAAATATCAAATTCTGACCTAAGACTTAAACTGATTTTCATGATTTGAGGGTGTTGGGAGAAGAAGAGGTGTGAGGGATGGGGAAAAGATACATTGTTACATTCAGGTACACAATCAAATTAATTTCTTTTAAAATTAATTTAGCAACATAACAGTTAAGCATGCTGGCATACAGCTTTAATCTCAGCATTTGGGAGAAAGGAGAATATCTATGAGTTCCAGGCCAGCATGGTTTACATAGTGAGTTCCAGGCCAATCAGGGCTACATGTCTCAAAAAAATTCAAACAACAAACAACCCCTATATTGTACCCAGAAGAAGCCTCACAAGAGCTCAACTACACTGACTTCTTAAGTATTTCAAACTTTGAGTATTAAAATCTATGAGAAAAAAATTTCTGTTGTTGGCAAAACCCCCTCCAAAAAAATAAATAAAATAAAAGAACCCAATATTGATCAGACTTCACAGAGTATTAAAATAGTGAAAATAAGCCGGGCGGTGGTGGCGCACGCCTTTAATCCCAGCACTCGGGAGGCAGAGCCAGGCGGATCTCTGTGAGTTCGAGGCCAGCCTGGACTACCAAGTGAGTTCCAGGAAAGGCGCAAAGCTACACAGAGAAACCCTGTCTCGAAAAACCAAAAAAAAAAAATAGTGAAAATAGGCTGACAATACAAGCTAGACTTCTCACCAATTATTTTATAACCAAATTCAGGCAATAAATTTACAAATGTCCAAACTCTTTTCAGAAACATATTTACTATGATATTTATGAAACTGTGGTTTTCACTTTTTACTAATTAGGTATGATGCCTAATATGTAAAACAGCTACTTATTTATATCTGTCTCCCATGCCTATCTATGGCATTTGAAAAAGCAAATGCCATCTCTTTTTATATAAATGTTCATTAAATGAATCAGTCACAACTCATAAAATAAACCTAAGAAGCCATGAGTATAAACATCTTGTCCTCAATAGTTCAAAGAACAGAAATCAAACACACTTATCAACCTAGTAAAGAAATGGTCATAAGAGACAGCAGCTGAAAACAGTAAATTATAACCAGTAACATTCTTAAGCTAATTCTTAAGAATTTTGGGTAGTGTATGTACCAAGTCTAAGACTTAAGTCTAATAAAATTTAATAAAACATAAGTCTAAGTTCATAAGTGTTTACAAATTTAAATGCCATACAAAGCAAAATGTTTATTGTTGCCAAAAATAATTATTTGTGTTTGCTCTGCTAAAGATTTTCATCCATATTCATTTCTATCATGTTCCTGATGAAAATATTCTAATAAGAATATTGTTTTATTCAAGGCCAGCCTGGGTCTACAGAATTCCAGGATAGCCAGGACTGTTTCACAGAGAATCCCTGTCTCGAAAAACAAACAAACAAAAAAGAATATTGTTTTTAAAAAACAACAACAACTGTATTTTCACCTTGGGGTAACTCTAACCACGCAAGTGAAAGACTTGTATGATAAAAACTTTAAGACACTGAAGAAGATATCAAGATAGAAAGATCTCCCATGCTCATGGACCAGTAGGTTTAATATAATAAAAACGGCCATCCTACCAAAAACAATATGCAAGTTCAATGCAATCTTCATCAAAATTCCAATACAATTCTCCACAGATATTGAAAGGACAATTTTCAGCTCCATATGGAAACACAAAAACCCAGGATAGCTAGAACTATCCTGAATAATAAAATAACTGCTAGAGACATCACCATCCCCAATTCCAAGTTGTACTACAAAGCTTTAGTAATAAAGACAGTATGGTACTGACACAAAAAAAGACACATTGATCAATGGAATCAAACTGAAGACCTAGACATAAATCCACACACCTATGGATGGACACCTGATTTTTGATTTAAAAAAAAAAACAAACAAAAAACACAGAAACAGAAACACACACTGGGGGAAAAAAGATAGCACCCTTCACAAATGGTGCTAGTCAAACTGGATGTCTGCACAGAGAAGAATGCAAACAGATCTATACTTATCACCCTGCACAAAATTCAACTCTAAACAGAAACAACTTAGATATCCTTCAATAGGAAAATCAATAAAGAAAATGTGGTACATTTACACAATGGAGCATTACTCCGCTGTTTTAAAACAAAGAAAGAAAGAAAAGAAACCATGAAAATTGCAGGCAAAGGGATGGAGCTAAAAAAAATCATCCTGAGTAGGTACCCCAGACCCGGAAAGATATATCATATTTATGATATATCACTTATATGTGGATATTAGCTGTTAAGTCAATGATAAACAAGCTACAATCCACAGAACCACAGAGGTTAGGTATAGAGTAATGGACTAGTGGAACAGATAGATCTCCCTAAAAAAGGGAAATAGACTAGACAGTGATGGATGGACTTGGAGGACAGGGGGCTGTGAGGATCAAGTGGAGATGGGGAAAAGGGAGGAAATACAGGGAGAGACAGCTAAAATTAAGGGCCATTTGAGGGGTAGTATTAAAACCTAGTACAGTAGAAACTTACTAAAATACATACATACATGAAAGTGATCTAAATGAAATCACCAAATAATGGGAGAGACACAGAGTGCCAACTAAACACCTCATTACAAATGAAGTTTTCAATACCAGGACTGGGTTACCTCTAATGTAGTAGTTAGCCAAAGGGGTACCAAAGGAATCCCTAAACAACTTGGCTGTTGCCAAGACTATAGGTTATTCTCCATGAACTGACAGAAAGGCTCCATTGCTTAAGACAATACCTACACAACACACTGAACAGGGAGAGGTCGTGCTGGTGATTACATGGAGCCTTCACCTCTACATTCTAGCATCTCTGGTACAGGAAGGTACATAAGCATGCTACCAAATGGGGAACATAAAATGTGGTGATACATTGTATCCCCCAATATATTGTGCACCCTAATAAACTTAGCTGGGGTCAGAGAACAGAACAGCCACTAGATATAGAGACCAAAAAATGGTGGCACACACGCCTTTAATCCTAGCATTCCAGAGGCAGAGAGCCGTCTGGATCTCTGTGAGTTCAAAGCTACACTGGAAACAGTCAGGCATGGTGACTCACGCCTTTAATCCCAGGAACTGATGGCAGAAAGAAGAAAGGTATATAAGGTGTGAAAACCAGGAACTAGAGCTGGTTAAGCTTTTAGGCTTTTGAGCAACAGTTCAGCTGAGATTCATTCTGGATGAGGACTCAGAGGCTTCCAGTCTGAGGAAACAGGATCAGCTGAGGAATTGGCAAGGTGAGGTGGCTGTGGCTGGTTCTGCTTCTCTGATCTTCCAGCGTTGACCCCAGTACCTGGCTCCAGGTTTGTTTTTATTAATAAGACCTTTTAAGATTCATGCTACAATAAAACACCAACCCAGCCACAAACCCTGATCTACGATGATACCTTGTGTGCAAGATATGCTGGGCACTAAAGCTAGGGCAATGGTGGCACAAAGCTTGTGGGTGTAACTAACATATCTAATTTGACTTAAGGCTCACTCCACAAGATGGAACCCACACCCGACACTGCTTGGGACTTGGGTGACCAAGAATTGAGACTAGACAGCCCAGGGACCTAGGGTAAAAATAAATACTACTGTTCTGAAACAAACAAACAAAAACACCTTGCAATAAAATGACTCCTAATAACACTCTGCTTTACTCATAGACCAGTGCCTTGCTCAACCATCACAGAAGCTTGCTCCTGCAGCAGATGGGAACAAATACAGAGACCCACAGACAGACTTTACGCAGAGAACAAGAGACCTTGCAACACTCAGTCCTAAATGGATGTCTCCATCAAATCCCTCCCCTCGGGTCTCAGGGAATCTTGTGGAAGAGAAGACAGAAAGCACTGAAGAGCCAGAGGGAATGGAGGACACCAAGAAAACAAGCCCTCTACATCAGTGGTTCTCAACCTTCCTCATGCTGTGACCCTTTGATAGAGTTCCTCATGTTGTAGTGACCCCCCCAAAATTATTTTCATTGCTATTTCACAACTGCAATTTTGCTAGTTAGGAATCGTAATGTAAATATCTACTATGCAGGATATCTGATATGCAACCCTATGAAAGGGTCATTCAACAGCCCACCCCACCTCTGGTGAGGCACAACCCATAGATTGAGAACCGTGCTCTACAATGCAATCAAATCAACATGATCACAGATCATATGAACTCAGAGACTGAAGCCTGGAGAGGTCTGCACCAGGTCCTGCACATATATTATGGCTTCCAGTTTAGTGTTGTTACGGAATTCCTGAGTGGGTGAACAAGTAGGTCTTTGATTCTTGTGTCTTCTCTTAGGCTCTTTTCCCTCTGTTTGTTTTATCCAATTTCGATATGTTAAGTTTTTGTTTTATATTATTATATTTTATTTTATTATTATCCCTTAGAAGCCTGTTTGTTTTCTAATGAGACAGAAAGGGAGCAGATCCAGATAGGAGAGGAGGTGGGAAAGAATTGGGAGTAGAGAGAGGGGAAACTGGAATCAGGATACATTATGTGAGGAAAAAAAAATCTATTTTCAATAAAAGGAGAGAAGAAAAAAGCAATCAGACAAAAACAAAACAACAAAAAACTATATTTTCATTCATCATTTTTCTTCTGATATTTATTTACAGAGTAAAAAAGACTTTGAGGATTGATATTGAGAAGATGTACCAATGAATTTCTGCATGTGATTTATAATCTTAGCTTGGGTAAAAAATATTTGCTAGCATAGGAGACATGACCTTCATACCCTGCAATCATACCTGTTTCTGAGCTTCTACTTTCTGCTTTCTGGTTGGGTCAATCGCATCTACCATCCATTTGATAGTGAAGTATGTTACTGCACCAAATATTGTTAAACGGAAAATTAAACCAACAACTTCGTTCCGACTCAATGGACGAGAAAAGGCTTCAGCATGTACCATCTTGACTATTAACCTTAAAAAAAAAAAAAAGAGAGAGAGAAAAGTCACTAGGAAATAACAGTATTTGTTAAAATTGGGAGAGAAAGTGGATTGAACTAAGTAAAAGAAACTAACTTCTGGTCAAAATAAAACACTGCTTATCATTCAAAAAATGTCTCATTTGAAGGAAAGCTATCTTTTTAAATGTTAAGAAAACAAACAAATTAAAAGCTTCCCTTAGAAATTGAAACATAATAGATACAGGTTTAGTTAGAGGAGAACACTTATTAAAAAGTATAGTGGAAGCCTGATGTGGTGGTGAATGCCTTTAATCCCAGCACTCAGGATGCAGAGGCAGGTGGACCTCTGTGAGTTTGAGGCCAGCCTGGTCTACAGAGTGAGTTCCAGGACAGTCACAACTACACAGCGAAACCCTGTCTTGAGAACAAAGAAAAGGTATAGTGGAGATATTATGTTACTCTTAGCTTTTAGATATGTTTCAGAGAACCTGGAAAACAATAATTTTAATATTAATCCAACTGCAGAAAAGGAGGCTAACAAGAGTTGTACTAATCCAAGCGTATACATTATTCTATTGGGCATAACAAATACCAAGTAGTTTTTGGAGAGTGAAATCTAACTACAAACTGACTCATTTGTTTCACATACTTGTATTTAAGGTTTTTAAAACCTGCTCAAATTTAAATGTGCACCTTTTTTGTTTATTTGTTTGGTTTGGTTTGTTTTTTTGTTTCTTGAGACAGGGTTTCTCTGAGTAGCCCTGGGTGTCCTAGAACTAGCTATGTAGACTAGGCTGGCCTCGACCTCACAGAAACAAATATGCAGTTTCTTAATTGATAAGTGACATTAAATTCTTTGAACCATCCTTTGCTTCCAACAATAAAGTAAATATGAAGCAAGAAAACTTTCAAAAATTTTGAACCAAGAAAATTAGTCTGGAGGTCTGGGGATTTAGCCTAGCAAATCAAGATCCTGGGTTTGGTCTTCAGCTTAGGGGAAAGGGGTTACGGTATTTGCTGGAGAAAAAAAATGCAAACTGTTGTGGGATAGTTGTACACTGTGAAGATATATTGCTGTAATTCGTGTAATAAAAAGCTTAAGCCGGGCGGTGGTGGCGCACGCCTTTAATCCCAGCACTCGGGAGGCAGAGCCAGGCGGATCTCTGTGAGTTCGAGGCCAGCCTGGTCTCCAAAGCGAGTTCCAGGAAAGGCGCAAAGCTACACAGAGAAACCCTGTCTCGAAAAACCAAAAAAAAAAAAAATAATAAAATAAAAAAGCTTAACGGCCAATAGCTAGGCAGAAGAGCTAGGCAGAACTTCCAGGAAAGAGAAGACTGGGGGAGGAAAGAGAGAGACGCCATTGAGATGCAGAGGGAGTCGGACATACCAAATTAAGGAGAGGTAACAAGCCAACTAAATAGAACGCAGATTAATAGAAACAGGTTAATTTCAGTTATAAGAACTAGTGGGACAAGCCTAAGCTAAAGTCGAGCTTTCATAATTAATAATAAGTCTCCATGTAGTTATTTGTGAGCTGGCGGGACAAGAAAGCCCAACTACAACAAACTATACATCTGACAAATGATTAATACCTAGACTAAATAAAGCATTTAAAAACTTAAAAACACACACAACACCCAATCACTAAATGATAGGTGAATTAAAACTGCAAATTAAAACTGCCTTGACATTCCATCACATCCCAGTCAGAATGGCTAACACCAATAAAACAACAAATGCTGGTGAGGATGTACAGAAGCAGGAATCATGTTTATACAATACTAGTGGGTATGAAAGTTGCTGCAACTACTACAGAAATCAGTATGGAAACCAAACTATACCACATACCCAAAGAATTGTAAGCATACCAAGAGATACTTGCACAATCATGCTTTTTGCTTAACTACTCCCAATAGCCAAGCTATAGAACCAGAACTAGCCTAGATGTTCATCAACAGATGAATGGATGGAGAAAGTGTGGTGCACAATGGGATTTAGTGAGCTAGAAAGAAGAAATGAACACATTTTCAGGGAAATTAATGAAGACTGGAGAGCATTATGGTAAGTAAATGAGCAGGATCAGAAAGACCAATATAGCATGTTCTATATTTAAATTTAAGTTTTGAGCGAGTTCTAGGACAAAGTTACACAAGAGAAACGCTATGTCTAAAAAAAAAAAAAACACAAAAAAAACCCACAAATGAACAGAAATAAAATTTAGAAATATAAATGTAGGGAATGAAAGCACAAAGGACAATGAGAGATAAAGAAAAGGTCTAAAGCAGCACTCTCAACCTGTAGGTCGAGACTCTTTTGGGGTGACGGACGTATCAGACATCCTGCTATCAGGTATTTACATGTCGATTCATAACAGTAACAAAATTACAGTCATGAAGTAGCAACATGGTGATTTTATGGGGGTCAACATGAAGAATTGTGTTAAAGGGTCGCAGCATTGGAAGGTTGAGGACCACTACTCTAAAGGGAAGGGTGAAGGGGAACAAGAAAGGATAATGGACTGACTACAGTAGCATGAAAACGAACGGAGGATCTGGACATGGCTCGCATGGAATCCCTGTACTTGGGAGCCTGAGACAGATTGTCAGGAGTTAGAGGCCTGTCTGGAGTACACAGTGAGTTGTAGGACAGCTAGGGCTACAGTGAGATCCTGTCTCAAAAATAATAGGTTACATAAAAAAAAAAATCTATCACAGCCAGGCAGTGGTGGTGCGTCCATCCCTTTAATCCCAACATTTGGGAGTCAGAGACAGGTAGATCTTTGAGTTCGAGGCCAGCCTGACCCACAAAGTGAGTTCCAGGACAGCCAAGACTGTTACACAAAGAAACCCTGTCTCGAAGGAAAAAAAAAAAGAGCTTATCACAAACAAAAGAATGCACCCACAAACAGGGGGAAAGGAGGTGATGTGACTACTTTTAAATATGTTACATCTCTGAGCAACTATAACAATCAGGTTTACAGCAGGAATTCACTCCAGTGTCAAAGGCAGTACCTTCACAAAATAAGCTTAGCAGGAAGGATGTGACTATCACATTTTAGGAGATAGGATATCAGTGTCCAACAATGTCTTTAAGCCTTGGCAAGTGCTGGGAGAAGGGGAGAAGAAAAAATACACATACATATTAACTCATGTAGAAATAGACAAACCAGAATCTAGACTGTTCAGTGATAGGTGCTAAGACTAATTAATATCCATGTCCCTTCTAGCTCTAAAACACTTTTCTTACTACTGCTAAGCTAAAATGCTTCTCATTGGCTTTCTCTGGAATAGCTCTAGTATTTGTTTATAGCTGTGGTATAGAGAAAAACCTCTGAATTCTTTCAGTCATCCAACAGCATTGTCAGATTTCTAAAGTATTTCCAAGTCAGTGTTCACACTTCTCTGCTAGGAACCATTCCTATCACAGTAATTATTTAAACGAGTAACTGAAAGACCTCATTTTGGATAAAGAAACTTTGGCCTAGGATAAGTAGTTCACTCAGTAAGAACTGCCCAAACATCTCCAAAAATGTGCTAAAATGGCTAATACATAGTACTCAAAAATACAGTGCAGTTATATTAATTACTAAAGAAAAAAATGGAACTAACTTAGCCACCAAATTATAACTGCCTCATGTAACAAATCACAGTATGGATTAGTATCCATAGTATTATCCATTAGTATGGATTTCAAATATAGGACACATGACAGTCAACTTCACAAAGGACCTGAAAATTTTACTTCCTTTGTCTTTATCCCAATAAAGCTGCAAACACAGTTGATAATAATCCAATAGGTGGAATAAGGGCTTTGTTAATTTAATCTGTGAAAAGTCATGACATTCCAATAAAGTTTTTGTTTTTCAAAAGTCTGGGTCAGAGTTGGGTACAGTAACAAAAATCCAGGGATCTCAGCACTCAAAAGACTTAAGACTTAAGGTTCAAGGCTAACCTGAGCTGCATAGGGTTCAAGATTAACCTAAACTACACAAAACATCCCTGCCTCAAAAAAAAAAAAAAAAAAGTTTTAATTAGAATGTTGAAATCGCCATCTACTGGGTAGTCAGTGAATTACAAAGGTAAATCAGGGCTATGGGCTATTTCCAAAGCACATTTCCTTAAAGTCATCAAGACAGTAACAATTTTTAACCCTATCAAAAAACAGTCAAGGACAATTCTTCCTATTCCAAAATTAACGGTGATTCAAGGCAGATTTAAGACTACTGCATGCCTACCTTAAGTGACTTCAAAATCCTGAAACGTCCTGAAATGGAAAATTTTATACAGTCTCCATAGATAAGATGTACACCATTCTATCATTCACATAGCATTGATATATCTGCAGAACAAAGCTATTATAGTTCCTTATCATTACAAAAATGTGTACAATAAAAGCTACAAACGTAGAGAATGTATTTCAATTTTGCATGAACACTAATTTTAGCAAAATATACACACTGCTGTATACAACTAAGACACACCACAAAACCGGTGTGATTATTATCTTTACACAAATACAACTTTACACAGTAGTTTCATTTTGAGCTCTAGTTTCAGTGCGGATACCGTATCTTTCAGCAGCCTACTAACGTTTATTATACTGCAATATTTTCTTCCTAAGTCACTGCAGTATTTTACGAATGGTCTTTCAACTCGGCTATCAAGGCCATGCAGACGCAGCCTGTGACAAGGAATGCCTGCTGCGCTCCGAGCAGAGGACAGGTCATTATTAACATCAGCATCTTCTGAGAAAGCGTGGCCAGCCCTGAAGAAACCCCTCCGCCTTTGCACAAAGAGGGCAGGACCTGCACGAGCGGACCGGTTCCTTCCAGCCGCCTTCCTACAAGCCTGCTCCTGAGGTCGCCCAGAGCGCCCCCGATCCTCCAGGGACCAGGTCGCCTACAGGAGATGTCCTTGCGAGCGGTCGAAGTCTCCCGCCAGCGCCGAGACCTGAGGGCTCGCGCCGGGCCGGGCGCCAAGGCGAGGCCCCGGACGCCCTTGGAGGTTAATCCGCTGGATCCGGCTGGGCCGGGGCAGCGCTCAAGTGTGACCGGTGGGGGGGCAGGTGACTGTCGGGCTAGGCTCCCCAGGTGAGCGCCAGGCCCTCGGGGACCCGGAGGGATGGGGGGAACGCACCTGGCCCGGCCCCGCGGGAACCCGCTACTCACCCAGAGGCAGGACCAGAGGCGATAGGAGCCCTAGCCCGGCCTCGCACAGGAAAGAAATGCCGCCTGGGAGAGAATGCTTCCGGCCGGAGCCACGCCCCCCGCACAGAGCATGCGCAATTCTGCAGTCCGAGCCTCAGGCGTGGAGACGCGGCGCAGGGCGAACTGCTTCTCCCCTCGTATGCCTTAGTATCTATCTGCTGTGCCGATACATTTAGAAAGGTGGATAGGATGTACATGACGCTTCCCAAAGTCTCTGAGTTCGGCTTCAGAGACTCAGAAACTGAATTGGGGAAATGCGCTTGACACATGAAATCCCTGTGCTGCTCTGGAGCTATATGCAAGCCTGAGAGAGGAGCCTTTTACAGAAGGCAAAGAAATACTTCCCTGCTCTGATAAACTTCCACTACCCTCCGCAAGTCCTCATGCTGCTGCGCAGACGCGCATGGCCTCACCATTTGCCTTTCGGTTTCTAGGGTGAGCTCACCCTCCTCCCCCATCTCTGTACTGACACCTGGAGGTGGCGCCTGAGAATCCGCTGAACGCATGAGCAGCCAGGCAGACCAGGGAGGTCTGGCAGTTGGGTCAGAATAGGGCATCTGGTGACAGGTTTTGCATGTTGATGACTTTTCTTTTACCCCTTCCTCTTGCAAAGTGAAGGACATGACACAAAGGTCCGAGGGAACCGTATCTGAAAACCAACCCCCTCTGAATGCGTACACCATCAAGGAACGAAATAGTAGACACTGCCTTAAATAAAAAAGGAACATCACTTAAGATAAAGGTGGTGGGACTATGAAAGAATAAGACAGACTTCTTAAGATCTCCTTATATTCCTGGAGGAGGGAGGTTGTTTCGCTCTGTTGTCAGGATTATCTTTTATGGCTAAGGAATTCTGCAGCCAATCTGGGCTTGGTCTCCCATGCCTGCTTTTCCAGCATTGGGTGGCTAAGGAAGGAGGATTGCTTTGTACCTTGGACTACATAGCAACACACTGCCTCCATCTGCAGAAACTTGTTAAATTAGCAAACGGTGTGGTGTCGTCAATAGCCATGGGGAGGCACAGCCCAGCAGTGCTGCCAGAGCCTGAGAAGTTCCTTGTTAAAGGACTGTATTGGGAGCAGGGCAGTAGTGCACACACCTTTAATCTCAGCACTAGGGAGGCAGAGGCAGGCGGATACCTGAGTTCGAGACCAGCCTGGTCTACAGAGAGAGTTCCAGGACAGCTAGGACTGTATAAGGAAATCCTGTCTTGCAGTGGGGAGAGAGGAGAACTGTATTGGGTTCTCTAGAAGAACAGAATAGATGGAATGCATAGATATTAATTAAAAGGTTGTTTTGGTTTCTTGTTGTTTGGTTTGGTTTTGTTGTCTGCTTGTTTTAGATTGGTTTATACAATACAATCTGAGTGGCCCAACGGTGGCTGTCCTGGTAGCTGTGCAGTCCTCAAGGTTAGATACCTTAGCAGTCCCAACCTGACACCAAAAGCTTTAAGGATTCCTGGAGAGCCACTACTAGTCCACTGGAAAAAATCTGGATTCTTATATCAGTGAAAGATGTCTTAGGCGGCAATATCAACAGTGGCAGTGGCAGAAACAGAGTAGATGAACTCACCCAGCACAGGCAAAGGCAAGCAAGCTCAAAGCAAATCCCCAGGGCTTCCTTACATTTGGGCCAGGACCTGGACTGCTCATATTTAAGATGAGTCTACCAATTAACCTAGTCAAGAGAATCCCTCACCAGGGTGCCTAGTGGCTTGTCTCGGGTGATTCTGGATGTTGCCAAGTTGATGGTATTAGCTATCACTGTCATGGGTACCTCCCCTCAGATAAAGTAGGATTCTTGACTACACCACAACAAAAAAGAGTAAGGCAAAGATTGCTGTGGGATGGTCTGTATGTCAAATGTGTTGCTGATTGGTCAATAAATAAATCACTGATTGGCCAGTGGCCAGGCAGGAAGTATAGGCGGGACTAACAGAGAGGAGAATTGAGAGAACAGGAAGCTGGGTGAGAGAGACACTGCCAGCCGCCATGATGACAAGCCGCATGTGAAGATGCCGGTAAGCCACGAGCCATGTGGCAAGGTATAGATTAATAGAAATGGATTAATTTAAGCTGTAATAACAGTTAGCAAGAAGTCTGCCACGGCCATACAGTTTGTAACCAATATAAGTCTCTGTGTTTACTTGGTCGGGTCTGAGTGGCTGTGGGACTGGCGGGTGAGAGAGACTGTGGGCCAGGCAGGAAAACATTAGCAACAAATGGTGCCCAACGTGGTGGCAAGAGTTACCACCTAAAAACTGAGAAAAAAGATTCTAAAACGGAGCTGAAAACAGCTCCTAGTTGTCTCTTTTAAGCTAGCGGCAGCCTGTGTGTTTGAGCTACTATGGCGGGTTCCTGGCGTGCATGCTCGACCTACAGTATGGCGGGAATGAGGCCTCTGCAAGTGGCACATTAAGCTGCACAGTGGATTTAGCCTTTGCTAGTACAAAACAAAACAAAAAAAGAGGTTTCTGGGCTACACGCTACTTTGATAGAAGCATAGACCCACTATTTCTGAGAGTTGATGGCTCCCAGAGCTGGCGGAAAACGTATCACCGCCATGTTGGGAAGCTGAAGTGGGCAGAGCCAGCAGCCACAGCGCCAGCACCGTTTCAGGCTTAGAAGGCTGCAGTTCAAAGCAATAGGCTCAAGCTAATATAAAAAAATAAGCCACGTAAAGATGAATATTACACAGAGAATCTGGATTGTGTTGTTTTGGGGATTTTTAACTGCAGAAAAACATTTGATTGTAAAAGCTGTTGAGTTATGCCAAAATGTATATTTTAAAGGTACCTTGACTTCAAAATTTGGATATAAGGATATGTTGCTTTGGAAAGGAGATTCTGCTTTTGTTTCCACAGAAAGCCAGAGGCTATGGATTTGTTCCAGATTAAGATACATCAGGTTTGACCAGCCAAGACCCCCTGAAAGGTCTCTGATGACACCATGGCCCAGATGATCCAACATCCAGAATGGTTTGAAGGCAACTGGCTCAGACAATACAGCCTCATGGACTACTCCATAATCCTAAAATTTTCTTTGTGTCCCCATAAGATACAGCGCCCCCCTCCAGCAGGAAGTAGTAAGAGAAGCTACGCCCAAATTTCCAAATATACCAAGCTGACTTTGGAGATGTGTAAAGGTTAAAACCTTCCTTTTTAAGAAAAGAAAAGGGGAAGTGCTGTGGGATGGTCTGTATGTCAAATGTGTTGCTGATTGGTCAATAAATAAATCACTGATTGGCCAGTGGCCAGGCAGGAAGTATAGGCGGGACTAACAGAGAGGAGAATTGAGAGAACAGGAAGCTGGGTGAGAGAGACAATGCCAGCCGCCATGATGACAAGCCGCATGTGAAGATGCCGGTAAGCCACGAGCCATGTGGCAAGGTATAGATTAATAGAAATGGATTAATTTAAGCTGTAATAACAGTTAGCAAGAAGTCTGCCATGGCCATACAGTTTGTAACCAATATAAGTCTCTGTGTTTACTTGGTCGGGTCTGAGTGGCTGTGGGACTGGCGGGTGAGAGAGATTTGTCCTGACTGTGGGCCAGGCAGGAAAACTTGAGCTACAAAAGATAGTGGGTTATTAAGTAGAGATATGAGATAATGCTTCAGATTTAAGTATGGGAAGGGAGGGGGGCTCATGACAGTATACATGATCAAAATATATGTTGCTGCTCATTTCCTTTTCCTATGTCTGCTGGACCTAATGTCATTTAGCAAATCCTAAGGAAATTTCTTGCATCTGGGCCTCAAGACATCCAATTACTGGCTTTCTCCAAATCACACATGTTCCTTCCCAGAAGTCCAAAAATCAACTAGGTTTTTTCAGAATGGAGTAGAGTGAATATACGATTTTTCATCTCTGGATATCGCTGTATAATCTATGGCAATACAAAATACAATATTTGGTCTACAATAGGTGTGCAATAAGCAATACATTATGTTAATATTAACCAAGGAGGTTCTGGGCTTTCCGTTTTTATTTTACTTTTATGTGTTTGTGTCTGCAGGCATGTGTACACTTGTGTGTATTTATTTGTGAAGGTCAGAAGGTTAGTGGTGGGTGTCTTCTATTATATTCTACTTTTTTTTTTTGAGATAGGGTCTCTTACTGTACCTAGACCCTGGAGTTCACTAGGCTAGCTGGCCAGAAATCCCTGAGAATCCTCTTCCCTGTACTTGTCCAGCATTAGAATTAAAGACATAGGGGCTGGAGAGACGGCTCAGAGGTTAAGAGCACTGACTGCTCTTCCAAAGGTCCAGAGTTCAATTCCCAGCAACCACATGGTGGCTCACAACCATCTGTAATGAGATCTGGTGCCCTCTTCTGGTGTAAGAGCATACATGCAGGCAGAACACTGTATACATAATAAATAAATCTTTAAAAAAAAAAAAAAAAGAATTAAAGACATAGACCACTGTGCCTGACTTTTTTCTAAAATATTTTTTCTTATTGAATGTCTCCCTTCCAGATCCTCCCTACAGTTTCTGTCTTGGATTCCTTTTCTTCAGCTGCTGATCTATGAGTGTGTGCATACAACCTGTTCAGTTCGTACCATGTTACCTGCACATGTATTTCAGGGCTGACTACTCAGTATTGGATAACCAATTGGTGTGACTTCTTCCTGCAGAAGGCTATTTCTACTTCTCTCAGCATTCCTTAGTTGTCTGTAGTTCTTAGTCTTGGGTTGGGGCCCCTACGGGCTTTCCCCCTTCCATGTTAGCATGTCTCTTGGTGCCATCCCTGCTTGGGTGTTCTTTAGGCAGCCATGTGGTTGAGAACTCACCGACGTAGCGTCCCTTTCATTTCCAGGGGACAAATCTCACATCAGAGATCCTGTTCCTCTGGCTCTTACAATCCTTTTGTCCCTTTTTCCTCGATAATCCCTGACTGTTAGGTTCAGAAGCTATGTTGCAGATTATCAGCTGGGGC